TGCACCTATAACAAGACACACTATTTTATCAATGCCTAGAATCAAAAATCTAATATTTATTTACGTTTAAGCTAAAAGAATAGACTAAATATATGATTAATTTAAGCTGCTCTAAGTTGTACTCGTAATCAGTTTTTCTATCGGGCTGTATGGTGAAAATGACATGTACGAAGGTATTTTTAATCCAAACCCACTTCATTCTTTATTCAATTCTGTGCCTATGACAGGTTAGACTTAGCCTAATTCATCAGCCAGTTTTACTTGTTTCACTTCGTACAAACCATCTGACCTCGCACCCTTAGATTTCGCTCGCTTGATGGTAGGCGGGTACTTTTTATCATTTAACCAATCGCTGCTATTTGGTTGTAACGTATGTAATGCGCCGCTAACAGGGCTAACTGGTATATTAAGCGTTTCCCAAATGCCGATGGAAGAAGGGCAATAACGTCTTTCCCCTTGATGAAATTCAACAAACATTCTCTTTGTTCTGCTTTAAATCCTCGATCTCGGGAATCGTTGCCAACACAGAATGTCTGGTTCTTCGCTGATTGGCTGGTGCCCGAACTCGCACTTCCGGGGTTTTTGCGAACCGTCTAGTGTATTCCAATTCCTGTCCTAGTTGCTGGAGAGAAATGAAATTAAGCGGAGGCACTAGGTGGTGCCAGCCTGACTAGGTTAGACAACGTATTTTACTTAAACACAGTTAAGATAATTTAAGATTTCACTCATTTTCTTAATTTGACCATTTTTAAGTTTAAAATGTTACTTCTTATTTGCTGCTACGTAGCTAAATTCCTCTGTGCACAGTAAAAAGAAATCATCATCAGACAAATAAAATCATAATTATTTTGTTGAATTAATGTTTAAAGGATCAGAAAAAAATGTTTCTTTTGTTTAAATCTTGCCAATCTTGCATTTGGATAGAATTCTCCCTTGTGTGATGTGAGCTCTCTACTTCCTGTAATTTTCGACACATTTTTAATGATAATAATGCATCAGTTTTATATAGCGCTTTTTTGGACACTCAAAGACGCTTTACAGAGCATTATTCATTCACTCCAGACCCGGTGGTGGTAAGTTATTATTGTCAGTCTGCCACAGCTGCCCTGGGGCATACTGATGGAAGCGAGGCTGCCAGTCTGTGCCATTGGCCCCTCAGACCAACACCAACACTCACTCACACACACGCCACTTCCATACTAGGCAATGTGGGTGAAGTGCCTTGCCTAAGGACACAACGACAGTTTTTTACGACTGGGGCTCCACTGTGGCACCTGATTTTCCCAGCGGTCTCCCACCCAAGTCCAAGTTTTTTTTCAACTTTTTCATCACAAACTGCTTCGTGATTGGTGTAAACTATTATTTATATTTACATCAGGTATTATCCTACCAAATGAAGTCGAAATCAGAGAATGCCATATGCACTTTAACTGCTATTTATTCTTGTCCATATGCTGCACTGTACATAAACACAGTCAGAGCCACTTATCATGCAAAGTTTTGACTTCTATATAGCTTTACTCTGATCACGCAGTGTTAGTGTGTTAGGTTTTGTCTATTGTAAATCATAATAATATAAATGATCTTGATCTTGATTTTGATTGCATGTTCTTATTCCCCTGCTGTTCTTGACCTTTGTGTTGCAACACTGTCATTTCCCCATTGTGTAACAAATAAATGTTTATCTTAATTTATAAATAAATTAAAGATGAATTTATTATGAACATACATGATTGAGTCGCACTTTTATGTTTTATTCATATTTTATACTATTATTTATGTATTTATTTTTATATTTCAACATTCATTTTTCATTTATCTGTTGTGTTTTAGTTTTTTGGTCCCACAAAGACAACAGCCATTAAAAATAAAATCACAATTTAAATACATTTTAATCTGTGTCATTCCCTTCACATGGATCTCTTGTATCCCCAGTTACCTTGTGCCTTCCTCCCACCTCTGTCTGTTTGCGCTGAAATACAACTCGACGCTAAAATTAGACCCAGTGAGATCAAGTATTTCTTATTACACTATCCCACACCTCTCTCTTACTCTACGGCTGCACTCAGCTATTCAAATCACTCTATACCATCTCACATGGACTCTGGGGTTCATTTGGACACAGTTTGATTTGGTTTTAGAACTTTGACACAAATCCTACAAATATTTAGTCATTTTTAAACTTTTATCTGAGCTAATTTTAGTTTTAAATCCTATAATTCTGTGTCAAACTAACGCAAATGTAATTTCGAAGTCAGAATGTAATTTCTAAGTCAAGCAATTCTTTAACGTTACCGTATATTTGTCATGTTTTACAGATCTTTTACTTCTATATTGAGCGTAAAATATTTAATTGTAAAGAAATAAATGCATTGCAAACTTGGATCATTTTCCTGCTCGTTTCTTTTGTATGTTCATGTCTGGTAAATATATAATCATATCTGATTGAGTCATAGTTGATTTTTCTTTACACATACACACACACGCACACACTATATCAACAAAATGGACGCTAGATTAAAGATGAGATGTTAATCTTGTATGTATGTATGGTCCAATAATGTTTTGTTAAGTCCTTGCCCCTTACATTAAATACAACCTGACCAAGAATCAAAACATAGGTATTAAATGGCACAACATGGGCCAAAAACACATATGTGAGGTGGGATTAAATGTAACTGCTGAATCCTATAGGCTGCAGTTATAACCAGCCCGTGCATACCAGGACATCAACACCACGAGATCCAGCCACTGCTCACACACGTCTTTAGAGCCCACCTTTAACCCAACATGACTTCAATAATAAGGCAGGGTAATGCTGCGGGAGGGGGCCGCATGGCATACAACATTACAGACGCTTGTTGAATGACTTACAGTGGTTCAATATAAGCAAAGTAGGCGGACTCAATCAAATCATAATGTTGGTAACTTCGTGGTCAAGTTATTTCAGGTTCAAGTTCAAGTACAAAGTTTACTGGCAATCCTTTTTATAAAGATTATACAAAGAATCGGGATTAGGTTTCTCACTATCCAGTGCGTAATAAGTAAATAATAAATGGTAAATAGTGTAAAAGTGCAAAAGGCATATAGTGCATCTAGTTTTGTTTTGAGATGGGCAGCGGTCAGTGTAGCCTGATTTCACTTCATAGAAACCGTCTGACCTCGCAGCATTAGGATTTGTTTGCTCGACGGTAGGTGGGTACTTTTTTTATTTAACCAATAGCTGCTTTTTGGTCGTGAAGTATGTAATGCGCCGCTAACGGGGCTAACTGGTATATTAAGCTTTTCCCAAATCCCGTAGGAAGAAGGACAATAACGTCTTTCCCATAATAAAATTCACCAAACATTCTCTTTGTTCTGGCTTTAAATCCCAGATCTCGGGAATCATTGACAACACAGAATATATGGCTCCTCGCTGATTGGCTGGTGCCCGGACTTGCACTTCCAGGGTTTTTGCGAACCGTCTAGTGTTTTCCGATTCCTGACCTAGTCGCTGGAGAGAAATGAAATTGAGCGGAAGCACTAGGTAGCACCAACCTGGCTACAGTCAGTGGGGGTCTGAGCCCAAGTGTGCTTTGGGGAATTCTGTTCTTAGGGAGACGCAGATACCTTGATTTCTTAGAAGATTCCTTCCTTGAGAATTTCTGACAACAAAACTACAAAACCAAAATAATTGCAGATCTTTTTTTTTTTTTTTGGTACTGTCCAATCCAAAAAATCCCACCATGAGAGACCAAATATTGAAAGGAGGAACTAAAAAAAGAGAAAGATGAAATGTAATACAACACACAGTACATGGCATGTTACAGAAGTATACAGTGTGTTGCCTCCTTCCTAAAAAGTCACAAATTCATGTCACAATCATGAAATTACACAAACCAATGTTGTCTGTGCCCTCAGTCTAAATTAATAATATCAAAAGTTGTAATTCTGACACAGTTTTCAATTCAGCCTGAAAGCATTTTACATTTCACCTGACAGGCTTCAGCAATCATTTGTCATTCAGCTCAAAATCAAATTTATAACTATTTGAAACACGCTTAAAATGTCATCATTAATTCGATAACTTGATGACAGGTGTTAAAGGCTCTGAATAAACCCTCTCTTTTCATTTATAAAGACACACCTGTATCGCTTACTCACTATGTAATTTTTCTGGTGGAGTACACATCACCTACTTGTTTTCATAGTATTATTGCATTTCCTGGACTTTTCCACAGTTACAACATTACAGGTTTCCATGGCGACAAGCAAATAACAGTGCTAAGGTCACGTTTCAGGTCAGCCGTATTTGAATAAATGCAGTATGGATCATTTGAATGCCATACTGCGGAGCATTTTAAGCAAAGCAAAAACATTTATATGGACACAAGAATTAGCAGACTTCCCAAAGCTGCCTCAGAAATTCTGGTTCCTGCTTCAGTATTTCACCCATGCAGGTAAAACATCTTCGCTGGAGGTTATACATTGCATCAATAAACAGTTATTCCCCAAACATTTGAAAGCGTCTGACACACACACAAGAAGGAACACATGACATTTAAGATCTACCAACAATGTCTCCACACTTTGACACTTCCAAACAACCTGACCTCCAACCAGAAACAAGTCAACAGGGACGCGCTAAGACAGAACAGCTAAAGAAATGCGCAGAAGAAAGCGGAGGAAACAGGTGGCCGACGGAAACGCACTTAGGAGTGTGCACGGGAAGAGCGCGCACGAGAGCGGCGTGCACGGCGAGCGCAGGGTGAAGGGGGTGCACCCAGTCAAGCACCTGTCATGACCCCGTTGTTTAACATCCTCTAATAGGTCTTTATCATGTCGACAGCATGCGTAAAGACAGTCCAAAAGAGAAGACAAAATTAGCAGCATGCATTTCACTGTTCCCCAACACAACCGCCTGGCTTCACGTAACTAAAGGAGGAGCAGAGCGAGAAATATTTGCCACTTAATAAACTAACATAGTGCAGAAGTGAAGGAGCAGAATAAAGAGGACTAACCAGAGTTTGCTTGTACCTCAGAGCCTTCCTTTCCGATGCATCTGCGGCCATTGACACGCTGTCACTAACCCAAAAATAACCGGCCCTCCGTAGGTCTCAGCGTTACCCCACACACAGAGCAGCTCACACGTAAACTGTCCATCCACACAAACAAATATGATCCGTCTGCAACCTGCAACGCTCCAGCCACACGTCTCCTCACGCAGAGGGGTTCCTACATGACAGCAAATGGACATTTTAAGTGTGTGAATATTTATCGTAGTTTTATGTGAGTTAAGGGGTGGTTTGTGGGGAAAACAAGTTAAGAAGAAAAGTACAGAAATACAGGAAGCAGCGGTGAGTTCTAAAATGACACTGAAAAATCTATCTAAAATGTAGGGACAATATTTGTATAAGGAAGTAAATTTTTCTGGCAAACCTTAATTTAATAAAATAAAGATACTGTCATTAATTTCATTAGACTAATTCTATAGTATAATTTAGTTTGTCCCATATTAACACTATGGTTGTTAGGTAACAGTTATGGAATTACCTTCATTTGTATTAATATGTGCATACAAGACTAATTAAAAAGAAAAAGAAAATAGTCTTTTACTTCTTGAAAAATCTAATAGTTTAGAGCAGTTTCCCAAAGACTGGGTCGCAACCCTCAGGTGGGTCACAAGAGATTTTTTTTTGGGTTGCCTGATATGTGATTTGCTGCTGCGCTCTCCTTCTCCAGCCGGGACTGGAACAACGCTACAAACATGAACAATGCTACAAAAACGCACACAGGCCCGCCTATCTCATTAGAAACATTGAAATGTTTTTTATAATTTCTAATATTTTTGTAATTATTTTCTTGTCAACTTTGTTCCAATATTGCTGGTTCAATTGAATGTTGAAAAGAAAAAGAAATGGACTACATTTAATGTCAAAACAGGCGACTTATGGATCCTTTTATTGCTGCTTCAGTGACAGTTTTTCATTGTTTAAAACTAGTAATACTAATTGTTCAGAGACACGACGATCACTTGGTCAACAACAAATGTTCAAAAATGGTCAAATGGACCGTTACTTTGTGATTTACGAATAATGTCTATTGACTGGGGTCACGGAGGTTTGTGAATTTAAAAATATGGGTCCCCAGAAAAAGAGTTTGGCAAACACTGGTTTAGAATAACAAAAAACAAAAAAAACAAAAAAATCACAACTATTTAAAGAAGAATTTCATACATTTACCAAAATGGGCAAATTAGTAAATTCCTATGTACTTACAGTAAATGCATATTCTGTATTTCGTAACTTCAAAATAAATGTAATAAATAAATTAATTATACAGCCCAAATGAGTTAAAAAATGGCAATGCAAAATATTTTTTTCTGATGGGCTGTAAATGTATTGTTAATATAAAGTCATATAAAGATGTTTAACCTCTTAAAGGGCCCACGTTACACTCTTTTCTGATCTGTTATAATGTTGTTTCTCCATCACAAACAGACCTGGAGTGGTGTTTTGTTTCATTCACACATGTTTAACACACAAATCTAACATGAGGGCGCTTACGGCTCCTTCTGACCCTGGCTTCAACTGACTTTCCAATAAAATATTTTGGCCTATCTCTAAATAACTGCTGCTGTGAGCCTCGTCATTTTGGTCTTAAAATGTTCATATTAACCCGCTCTACACGATCTTGGTGCTTATATTTCATCATTGTGTCTGTTAATAAATTCCTATGTGAATGAAATGTGTGAATGAAACAAAACACAACTCCAGGTCTGTTTTTGATGAGGTAACAAAATTGTAACATGGTTTTAAGCTCACAAGCTCAATCATGTGTAATATAGGACCTTTCAGTTGTTCTTAAAATGTGTGTGGTAGAACATAAATATAACTGAAAGTAAATATTGTACTTAAGAATAGCTCCTTATCAGTGATGTAATATGCCTTTAGACAGAACAAAAGGCTCCAGATGAAACCAGAGCGATACCAGTCACTTCTGAGGCGTGTCCTGGGAGGAGCTGAGGTCAAAGTTCATCACCATGCAAGTGCTGGACCACACGCCTTAAAGTCAACACTGATACAGTCTTTAATGAGCTGCCAGTCACCTCTGCTCATACTTTGGATCACAAGTGTTTGAACCTGAGCAAATCTACTGTATGTTGCACAATTGTACTGATCCAACGGAAAACACATGGTTGCATAACTCAACAATGTGTTAATTTGCATCTTGGTTAAGCTTCACGTATTGCACAAAATATGAACGGCTATTTTATTCAGTTTAAAGGTGCACTGTGTAACTTTTCTGGTAAAGGGCCCCCCAGTTGCATGTCTCTGTGGAGATGTTCCCTGCAATGTTCCAAAGTATAACATTAAACTTTTCAAACAAGCAGGAGACGCCACCAGGTCAATTTACAGGCGAGATTTGCGAAGGGGCAACGCCACTCACAGTAAGAATAAATATTTTTATATTTATAGGTATTTTTGAGCAATAAAAACACCCAAAATTCAAAAAATGCATCTTATAATTTTAATAATATATTGTGGAACATTGTAGGCAAAGTAATATCATCTCTCAACCTGAAAAGTTACTCAGTGCACCTTTGATTAATTTAAACTACCTTTTTAATTTAATTTCAGATTTTAGATAGTTTTGATAGTTTCAATTATAAATTATATTATTATTGTGTTTTAATTTTGTATTTCTCCAAAACAATAACTGCGATATAATCCATATATTGATACACCTCATAGGATATATTGTGATTTCCCAGGTAAAAAACACATGGCAATACTGAAGAAAGGGATAGAAAGAAGATGTATTTTTGATAACCCATGTTTTCTGTACCACGTTTTATACAAAAGATCAAACTAAATAATAATACTAGTTGTTATGTAAAAAGAATCTGTAAAAATCGACACATCTCTTCCTCACACTGTTGGAGCCTAATGAGCGTTGGTGATGCTTATGCAGGTGTAAACGCTGACAATGGAAACTCCAGTGCTGTGGGTGTGGCAAAACCAGAGACGTGACATAAAACAAAAGAGGAACAGCTCCACACAACTACAGTATGGTGCTTGTGAAATGCATGTGCAAAGGATAATGTAGAGAAAAAGAAAAAGGGCTGAGACCATGAGAGCTTGGACGGAGGAGTTACATTTTGTTGACAGTTTTGGGCTTTGTGAAAAGGAATTACATGTTTTGGACAGACAGAAGTGGGGCAACTGAACAGACAGCAGTATAAGGTAAGATTCATGTTTAGAAGCTTTGTTGAAATTGTACTTTGAGTAACTTTGTTGGTTAGTTTTCATTAACCATATCTATAAATTTTTTATTAATATGTACGCAGAAAATATTACATACAAGCATTTCAGATAGATATAAAGATGGGCATTTAAAATCATAATAACACTAATAGTAAATATGTGAATAATGCAATTTTAGTAGGGTTTTATTTTTTTTTAAGTTTTTGTATGTTTTGTTAGTGAACCTTTTCCTTTTTTTGCTTTCAATTTACAGAACCAATAATTTAACCTTTTTTTGCTACCACAATAATGAACTTTTCTCATTTGATTTGCACAATATTGGTTACATACAAACATTCACTTCTCAACCTGTTAAAATTTCAAATGAGTATCACTATTACAACAATGATGTCAATTAAAAAGTTAATTAAACTACCAAAATAAGCTTACAATATAACAATTACTACTAGTATATGGCTATAATATTAAAACCCAAACAAGTGTCTGCCCTCAGATTGTCAGTAAAAGCAGTTAAGCCTCATCACGTTGACAGTATCTTTGTGTATTTTGTCGGATTAACTCTTAGTCCTACTTTAAACAGGTGATGTAGGTTGTGGGCTGTCGAGTCTGTGTTTTGCCTGTAGCTTTGTGAAGCCTGGGACGTTCTTGCACTTCTCCATGTGACAGTGAAATGTGGTCAGACAGGCTTAGTGACATTTACCTAGTCAATAGGGCAGAGCGTGTGTCAGTGGTTTGGTCTTATAATGCATGCCACACTCCGCTCCGCTGTCATGCGTGGGAGTGTCTCTGCTGAGTGCGCATTGATCCAACTGTAGCATGTTCTTTTAAAATATTATTCATAGCTTTGTTGTATCTTTTTGGCTGCAAGTTAAAATACAAACACTTGTCAAGATCCCATATTAAGCAATCTATGTTTTCTGGTCATTGCCTCATCAAAATCATACTAGGTGTTGTGTATGTTCATTCACACATTTTAAACACACAAATCCTGTATATTTTGTAGGTTGAGTACTTCTCTCAAACAGAAAACACTCCACTATGCTCCACTGTATTTTTAAACTCCATACCCTTTCACTAGAATCATATGGATAATTTGGCCCTGGAATTGCCATTCTCTACTGAACTGAAGTAAAAAGGTAGCCATTAACTTGAGAACTACAACTACATGACATCACAAGGTGAAACAGAGCATTTTGAGCTTTGGAGATGTAAACAGACTAATAATAAAGGGTTACAAATGTGTGTATGAAACAAAACACAACTCCAGGTCTGTTTTTGAAGAGGGAACAACATTATAACATGCATTATTATAACAATTCCAAAAAAGGTATTCTGTGAACTGAGCAAACGTTTTAGAGTGAATACGTTTTACCACTAAAACCAAATGGCTTCTCCAGTTCTGATTAAAAGCTACAGAGCTACTGCCTTATTGCTGTGTTTCAAATGACATCACTGCTTTCTGTAGGTCAATATTAATGAATATAGATGGGAGACAGCTAAAATTAAAATTGTTAGAATGCAAAATTATGTTATGATACAGTGAGCTCTTGAGTTTAGTCAGTAAATGAAAATACCAGGTTCAACAACTGTGAATTTACCTTTTGAATATTTCATGGTAAAGCATAATGTAATCAATAGGGAAATCTGGCTCATGCGCCCATCAGGGAGCAGTGGTGTAGTGGGGATTTTTTAAGTGGGGATATGCGATTTTGTGACATTATCGTTGTGATGAATCCCACCTGCTTGTTCCGACACTCAGTCCAGGTTCAGTTCTGGTTTAGTCCAGGTTCAGTTCTGGTTTAGTCCAGGTTCAGTTCTGGTTTAGTCCTGGTTCAGACCTGTTTAGTCCTGGTTTAGTCCTGGTTCAATCCTGGTTTAGTTCTGCTGGTTCACTTCTGGTTTAGTCCTGTTTTAGTCCTGTTTTAGTTCTGGTTTAGTCCTGGTTTAGTTCTCTGCTGGTTCACTTCTGGTTCACTTCTGGTTTAGTCCTGTTTTAGTCCTGTTTTAGTCCTTGTTCAGTCCTGGTTTAGTCCTTGTTCAGTCCTGGTTTAGTCCTGTTTTAATCCTGGTTCAGTCCTGGTTAATCCTGTTTTAGTCCTGGTTCAGTCTCGGTTTGGTCCAGCTGGTTCAGTCTTGGCTTAGTCTTGGTCCCCACATGTCTCAGGTCACTGTAGAACAGTAGTGGAGATATCATGAGCCTATGCAGGTTGTTTTCATCATTGCCAATAGCTGCAGGCTGATTTATATTTGTTAGTTTTTTATATCTCACGTCGGGAGAAATGGATGGCCCCCTGCGTACCATGCCCACTACACCCCAGTCTAGGAGTATGATATCATCACATTCTTGAATCTGAAAACCATCGATATCTGGAAGGAAGAAGCAATTTATATAATCTTCAAAATGATTCCCACCCAACTATTTTGACAGCAAGATATTCATATTATTCACATATTTTAAACAGACTAAGTCATATATAATTAGTGCTGTCATGCGATTAAAAAAATTGAGAGATTAATTAATTATGATCTGTAATTAATTAATCTAATTAATCTCATTTTAATCTCACCTAAAAATTGCTGAGAAAAGCCTTCAATTTGAGGTATTTTCATTTAAATTCATTATTACATTATTGTGGCAGATCAAAAGACTGATATAGATTTAAAAAAAGTGACTTTATAAAGTCATTTATTGTTTAACAAATCTCTCCAATTTGGCTGTTGAGCCCAAGTCTCCATGAATAAGAAAAGTAAAGTGTTGTAAAGTAGCAAAGATGAGGAAATCTGAACATAATAACCTTTGTCTACTTAAAGACAATAAAAAGTCCAGTCTTTCCATAATCATATTAAAAAATATTATTGATAGAGAAATGCTTTATATATGAGATCACTGGTTTTAGTCCTGGTTTAGACCTGGTTTAGACCTGCTTTAGTCCTACTTTAGTCCTAGTTTAGTCCTGGAATGGATTAATCCTGGTTTTAGTCCTGGTGTTAGTTCTGGTTTAGTCCTGGTTTAGTCCTGGTTTAGACCTGGTTTTAGTTCTGGTTTTAGTTCTGGTTTAGTCCTGGTTTAGTCCTGGTTTAGTCCTGGACTGGATTAGTCCTGGTTTTAGTCTTGGTGTTAGTTCTGGTTTAAAGGCGCACAGGAGGAAGCGCGGTTTACTCAGCGTACGCGAGAAAACACAATCCACACGCGGCTCATGGAGGAGACAGCGATGTCCGCGCAGTGTCTATGGAAGGAAACGTGGTCCGCGCGTTCTCAGGTTAATGACGATGATGAAGGTGTGTGTTTGTGTGTGTGTGTGTTTGTGTTGTTTGTGTGTTTGTGTTTGTGTGTGTTTGTGTGCGTGTCCCCTCATGTGGCAGGTCACTATAGGACAGTAGTGCAGACATCATGAGCCTATGCAGGTTGTTTTCAGGCGATTTTATATTTGTTATTTTCTTTTATATTTCACGTTGGGAGAAGAATTTCCAAGACACGAATGCGTTTTTACCTGTGCACTGCTGACTCTGTTCTACTGGCTCTTCAACCTCGTCCATTGTGCGACTGACGCCGCCAACGTTAACATGACGTTGACATCGCTCTTACTGCGCGTGTTTTGTGTGGGTTTTCGGCAATGAGTGGAATTACCGAAATAAAAAAATGTATAAATGTGTTTTGTGTGTGTGTGTGTGTGTACACATAAAAACAGGTTTTATAATAAAGAAACTCACATACAGAAACACTAAAGTTAGAGATTAAAAATGAGATTAACGCGATTAAAAAACATAACGCGCTAAATATGACTGTAATTAATTAATCGCAATTAACGCGATAATTTGACACCCCTATATATAATACAAAATATTTCCCATTGGATGTATTACACAACCACGACAAAAGTTTGTAGCAGTCAAATATTCATATATGTTCACCTCAAGTTGCAGAGCGATGAAAAACTAGCACCGTTGCTATCACATACTGTAAATGGACATTGCTAACCCACTATCCTGGAGGTGGCTCCAAATCTTTCTGGCTCCAAGTGACTTGACATTACATTACATCTCTTTGTAACTGCTGCAATGAGCCTCGTCATTTTGGTCTTAAAATGTTCGTATTAATCTGCTCTACATGATGCCTTTACATAATTATGGAACCGGCTCCAAATTCTCCCCTATAACAGAGCTTCATTCGACATGAACCGAACGCTACGGCTGACATCCCACGCCCTTGGTCCACTTTTCCTCTTTATAAAGTTTATACCAAAACAAAATGTCTCAAGTGAGTTCTGTTGTGTAGCCCTCAGCGTTAAACCTCAACAAACACGTTCGGAGAAGCATGTGATTTTTGTTTTTGTTCATATTTCAGGGTTTGCAATACTTCTCAGAAAAATACCAAGTTAATTATTTTCAAAGACATCACCATGAGACAGCAGTTTCCCAGTGTGTTTATGCAGGCTGTCATTTTGCTGGCAGCATAATACATTAAACATTACAGTGAGTCAGGGGCCATCATGTGTTGATGTAGTCATGCTTTACAAATGTCAACTTGCCACTTGACAAACACTTAAGATGACAGAGAGAGAGGAGATAAGATTTACAAGATTTGAATCGGCTATTCACAGGTTTTTGGACATGGAACGGATTCTTACGAGAAACAAAATCATACTAATTCAATGCCATAGTAAAAAACTGAAAGTAACCTGTAACAGCAGTGCAATGGTGGAAAGAGTACTGCAAAATTGTACTCAAGTAAAAGTAAAGTTAAATGGCAATGTGTGTTGGTTCAGAAAGGAGCAGATACAGTGGTGAGAGAGCTACGGATTGGGATGAGTGGGACAAAATGTAACTAAATACAATTACATGGTTACACTTATACTCAATTACAAGTACAGGTTTAAAAATATACAATTACCTCCCAAAAAGCTACTCAATTACAGTAACATCACAGTTTGTCGTGAGTTGCTTTCCACTGCTGAACATAAAAATATGAGCAGTAAGGGTGTGAAAATGTATACTTTATGTGAGCATGCAGTATTAATATTGCTTTTGATAGTACTGATAACTATGCGAAGCTGAATGATTTTCAATTAATCAAACAGAGACAACTTACATAAACATAAAAACTTTTACTTTGTGTTTATATTATATTCAGAATCGATTTCCTATGCCATAGAAAGTGCTGTGTGTGCTGCTGTGACTACATTTGTTAAACAAATCAAATACTGAGGACTCCAATTCAGAAGCCTCAATGTGATATATATTTTTGTTATAATTATGTCAATAGGTCAGCCATGGTGATCAGGAGCATTTGAGTTATAAATGGAAGTGTAATTAAGTGTTCTAGTTTTTATTACTGGCTATTGTAACTCACCACAAAAGCTGTTATAAAGTGAAGCTCAATACAGCAGGAAAACAACACATGACTCTGACTCAGAATCTGCAAGCAGGTTGAACATGATTCCAGTTTATTTTACATCTAATAATTATAAGTAATTAACTAGCAACAAAACAACAGTAATTCTAAAGTAACGGCTCAATGGTCCAGGGAATCAGTCATTCGAAACTGATGACCCAGAATCTACAAGGAAATACAACTTCATTTCAAATTAGGTGTTGCCATTTAAATGGTTCAGTCTGTGTTGGGTATTTTAAATGACGATGATGATCTGTAAGTGCATAAGAACGTATGTTTGAGGAATAAAATAAAATGTTAAAATGTAAAAAAAAAAGTTAAAAGGCTCTAAATCAGGGGTGCCAATCATACGGCCCGGGGGCCAGATCTGGCCCTCAGCTGATTTCTTACTAAAATATTTTAATTATATTTTCTATTAAAATATTGGTAATTTTCTGTGCTGCTTAGCATAGCATCGCATAGTCTCCAGCGCCTCTGTGCGTGGCCGGCTCCCACCAGAGCAGCACAAATGAAGACTTGGCTCTTTACAAACACTCTTAAAAGACGATTGTTTTGACTGTTGACCGTGACACCCTCATCAGCAAAATGTCAAAAATGAGAAAAGTGGACATCGAGTGCAGGATTTTCCAAGAAAAATGGACTTAATCCTATTTTCATACAAGTTAATGTTAAAACATTGTGTTGAAATTGCATTTTTTTTCAGGTTGGTATTTTGTAAAAATAGTTCATTAATTAAAAAAGATTTCTGTAATAGATTTCTGTTTCTTTGCCCAAATATTTGAACTTATTGCTATTTTTGGGGTATATATGTCATGAGTTTTCTGATCCGGCCCCTTTGGGATCAAAGTAGGTTGGATACGGCCCCAGGACCAAAATGAGTTTGACACCCCTGCTCTAAATGCTCTAATAATACTTAAGTTCATAATTTGTGTACATGTTTGTATGTCTAGCATAAAGCAAATCTTGTACAAAAACTTTGAAGACATACTTTGGGTCCAGGGTACAAAAAACTGGAATGGGTGCATTTTGTAAATGCTTAGATGTTTTCTAAGAAGTTTTCATTGCTGTTTGTTTATAGTTTGTTTTATTTTCTCAGGGTTACACATTGTGAAGCCCTACTGTTTATGATTGTGGGCTATACAAAAATATATGTAATTATCTTTATGGTAGATCGGAGATAGTATTTTATGTAATATCAGAGATAGGTTTAAAGGCTTTGGGCCGTGCTGAGCAGAGGTAATGCTGAGCTCTGGTTTAACTGTGTGACTTATGTTGATCTGCTCTTCATTTACAGCATGTCATCCAACACCACTGAGTGCGCCACCGACGACCAACTCTGCAGTAAGAGCCCCCATTCTGTTCTCTACAACAAGAGTCTAGAAATAAGAACACTTCTAACTATGAAGCAATCAAATATATCTAAATCACTGATGATACTACAGACAAACTAAAGGTGTTTAAAGGGCCCATATACAGTACGCCATGTTGTGATCTATGTTATAATGCCGTTTCCTCATCACAAACAGACCTAGAGTTGTGTTTTGTTTCATTCACACATGTTTAATACACAAATCCTGCACATTTATGTTGAGTTCTTTCCTCAAACAGAAAACATTCTGTTGTGATGTCATGTGGTAATACAGGAAGTGCTTCACTGAGTTTTTAAAATCACTAGAATCATTTGGATCATTTCAATTGCTAAACTCTTCTGAACGTAAGGTAAAAAGTTGCTGTTAAAATGAAAAGTACAGCTTCATGACATCACAAGGTGGAACAGAGCATTTTTAGCTTTGAAGATGTCGACAGACTAATAAACTACAGGTATGCTTTTGAAGAGGTAACAACATTCTTGTATAGTTTAAAGCTTACAAGAGTCAAATTTTGCGTAATATAGGACCTTTAAGTAAAAAATATCAGTCACACCAATTTAAAGTAGAATATTCTTATGTATCAAAATAGTTGCATGTGTTTCTGAGTGAAATATACTAAAATAATGAAAAAAGAATAGTCATATAAATTGAATCTATCTAGAACAGGAGTGTCAAACTCAAATTCAATGAGGAAAGGCCGAAATTAAAAACTGGAACTAAGTCGTGGGCCAAACTAAATCTTGATTGAAATATTTAAACAACATCTGCATGTTTTCTCTTCTTTCGAGACACGTAATGTTAAACCTCTGCCTACTAAAATAAAAGTTTAATAATAGTTTTGCTTAAATACTGAATCCAGAACAAGCATCATATAAAAATAATAAAATTTTAAATAAATAACGTCTCTATAGTCTAATAATATGATCTTGCGGGCCAAATATAATTATATCGTGGGTCAAATTTGGCCCCTGGGCCTGAGTTTAACATGTCTGATCTAGAATATGAATTTGTAATCTGTCATTTCTTTTCTTAAATATACCATCTCATTTTCTTGCATTAAAATCATTTCCATGTTCAACTAGATTAGAGAGCTATTACAACTGAATAATGTTGATTTGAAGTTGCTTTTCAAGTAAATACAGTGAATAAATAGGCCTACTTTGAAATACATCTATATTAACTTTTTCTATTTACCATGTTTATAACAGTCAACCTCATGTAACTAGTCACAGTGGAGTACAGTTATACTTTGTTATTTGTGTGCAGATGCCAAGGCATGAGAAAACAGTTGGACCAAATATTAATCAACACTATTTTAGGCTTCCCAATCCCTATACTATATTTTCATAACAGAATTCAATTGTATTCGCTCTATGCAAATCTGAAGCTAAGAGGAATTTAAGCTCTAACTGTCAGAGCAGCTCAACTTCAAAATGACTTTTAAAATGAGTTATTACTTACGCTATAGAATCACCACACCTAAGAATGTGCCTCTACAGGAAAGGTTTGGCCAGTCCATTTGTTTTCTAGACATCCAATCTCTCGTGAGCTATTATGAGCAGGTGTGGGAGCCTGATTTTTCTAACATGAGTGTCCAACAGAAAGGTAAATGTGGCGTGTGTCCATGGGTTGGGTCAGAAAAGCTGCCTCACAATATCGAGGAAGTATTATAAAAACAAATGCGACTTCCTTGTTTTATCGTCATACTTGTCTTAAACTATTAACCTGCCGAAACCCATGCCTCGTATGACATGAATCACGTTATAGAATATGAAAAGAATAAAAACAATGAATAAAATTCACCTGACCGGGGGACAATCAATCATTTGGACAGATGATTCAGTGCTCCAGGTTAAAACACACACACGTCATCTACTTTTCCCTTTCACCCCTGATGTTGGCCAGTGTGAATTCTCAAGAGAAGCATAAAGGTTAAGTATTTCAAAACTGTGAAAATCGTAAAGCATCAACAGCAACAACAATAGACCCAAACTGAAGTATTTCTCATGTTGCAATAGTATAGCTCTTTGACAACTAACTTTACTCATTTTTAACTTAAGAATAACATGGCCTCAACTTTTTTTTTTTTACTGAAATTGATTCTCGTGCTCTGTAAGTCATGTTAGAATGTTGTCGTCTCCTCAAAAAACATGAATTGTTTTTTGTTTCATTCACACATGTTTGAGTAAAGCTTTATTATTAGTCTGTCTGCATGGCCAAAGCTTAAAATGCTCTGTTCCACCTTGTGATGTCATGAAGCACTAGGTAGTTTTCATGTTGTTTCAGGACTGAAATCCAATCTAAATTCTTCTAGTGAAGGTGTGTGGAGTTTAAAAACACAGCGGAGCACTTCCTGTATTACCACATGACATCACAATATGGATGAATATGTGTTTTCAGTCTGAGTGAAAAAGTCAGCCAAAATATGCAGGATTTGTGTGGTAATTGTGCATAAATGAAACGAAATACTAGCCAGGCTGATGCCACCTAGTGTCTCTGCTCAATTTCATTTCTCTCCAGCGACTAGGTCAGGAATCGGAATACACTAGATGGTTTGCAAGAACCCTGGAAGTAAGAGTCAACCAGTCAATCAGCAAAAAGCCATACATTCTGTGTTGGCAAAGATTCCAGAGATTGAGGACTGAATGTTTGGTGAATTTCATCAAGGGGAAAGACGTTATTGCCCTTCTTCCTACATGATTAGTGAAAAGCTTAATATACCAGTTAGCCCCGTTAGCAGCGCATTACATAAGTCACAACCAAATAGCCGCGATTGGTTAAATACTTTTTTTTTTTTTAAACGCCTACCGTCAAGCGAACGAATTCTAATGCTGCGAGGTCAGACGGTTTCCATGAAGTGAAACCAGCTAATGAATCAGAGTAACAAAACACAACTCCTGACATATTTTTGATGCGAAAACAACATTATAACATCAGAAAATACTGCAATATGGGCCCTTTAATCAACTTTTAACCGTCCAATCCATATACATGTCCTTAGATTTTAATTAATTTTATGTATTTTCTTGTGTTTCAGTTGTTAAAGAGCATGAGCTGGAGGTGATCATCGTCCCCGTAATCCTGCTGTTTTTATTCGTTTTTTTCCTGGTGTGTCTAGTTGTGCAGAGATATATCAATCACAAGAAAATCTCACAAAGGACTGTGATTAGCAACTATGGTAAATATCAAATAAATCAGCCACTTAACCATCAGAACCATCATAACAGCCATCACCACAACAACCACCCTAACCATCACAACAACAACAACCACCCCAACCATCACCACGACAACAACCACCCCAACCATCACCACGACAACAACCACCCCAACCATCACCACGACAACAACCACCCCAACCATCACCACGACAACAACCACCCCAACCATCACCATGACAACAACCACCTCAACCATCACCGCGTCAGCAACCATCACCCCAACCATCACCGTGACAACAAGCAAACCAACCAAAGACAACAACAGAACCGCAACAGCTCCCCGCGCAGAAGCAACAGGAATCGGAGTCATCTACAAGGCATAGACGGTGAGAAAAAGCATTTTATCTGCTACAGATTTGCTCTGTCGAAGTTTTGTTGTATTTCGTACAATGACAATAAATCTAAATCTAGTCATATCTTTGCTTAATATTTCAAAATTCAACCTTATGTAAAATTACTTGAGGCAGTGGTCTAAATTGAAAAAATAAATAAATAAATAAAATTATACTAGGGATGGGCTGATGTGGATTTTTTGAGATATCAATCGATTTGGATATCCAATACATGGCCTGCTACTGTAGCCGATACCCGATATTTGGCAACACTAGTATTTCACATTTAAAATCCAAAGCAAGGAACAAAAATAAAGAAATACTAATGCTAATAATAAATACATTTTTTTCTGGGATATAAAATAATTTCTTGTCTGTTTGTGTAAGCATATAGCCATTTAACGCTCTTCTATTTCCACTGGTACTCTTTAAAAACGACAAATCTGATGCACGGAGGAGAATCTGGGAATGACACATGGGCACAGAGAGGTACTGAATATAGATACCGGCCGATACATTATCAACAAACCTGGTCGATATTTGTCAATACCAACACTGGAACTGACAGATCACCCACCCCTAATTAATACATTTTCTTTGGCAACATATTTTCATCACAAACTGAAGAATGTTTTAAGTTTTGTTTTAAAACTTGTTTGACATGATCACGTCTTTTATTTACTGCAATTAGTGTTTGTTTTAATGTGACAAAGTTAAGTTAAACAATAGTGTTGAGTAAATGTTGGCACTGGCAGCATTCTTAATATATACTATAGTATAAATTATATTCATTTCATATATTCTAAATAAAAAACGCTTAATGTTAGAGTGAGTGTCTTCGTCCTGTTATGCTGTGAGGTTGTCTTTTCTCTTTTACTTGGTTGTTTTTTAGTATTGAATCTGTATATATTTCAAAAAGCCAGGAAATGTATCTGAACAGGACTTTATGCTTACCTTAAAATGAAACTTTTCAAATATATTAATAAGATAATTCTCCCTCTTTTTCATGTTTGCAGCCCCGCCTGGTATAAACCCTCTTGAACATGAAGAGGTGCCGATGACAGTTCAAAACTCTCCACAGACGAACGCTAAGCCTAATGTGTCTGCGGTACAGCGTAGAGCCACAGAGAGGCAGCACAGAGCCTTCAGTCAGATCACAGCGCTGCCTCAGAATTTCTTCATCAAACCAAACAACTCTGTGTCTCTGTACCGGGCACAGATGGACCAAAAAGATGTGGTCCTACGAATACTCAAAGGTGTGTTTCATTTAACGAATTACTGTATATTTTAATGGATTTGTTTAATATATTAAATAACATATCATCACTCTTTTTATTTCTACTTGATTTGTATTTGATATTACTTAAGTAATCTGATGCTTTTGTATGTTTGTCTACTACAGACCATCTATTTCAAATCATGTTTAGTGCTTGACAACTGTTTGAAAATAAGTTTCACATTTTGTATTTTAACAGTTCTACATTAGATTATATGTGCAATTTGTTACTGCACTTTTCTTAATTTTCTTTTTGCTCTGAATACGTGGATCATTTTGAATGCTTGCTTTTCATATACTTAGGTAATACTTTATTCAATAGTACACAATTTGATAGTCATTTCTGGTCAAACCTCTACTGAGTACAAGTACAAGTATAAGTAATTGAGTACAATCTTCTGACCTGTTTTGTATTGCGTTGTCTTGTGTGTGTCAGATTCGGCGTCAGAGGCAGACAAGCATCAGTTTGTGGGGTTTGCGTCGTTCCTCTCTGGTCTGGGCCCTCACCCGTTCATCCCGGCTCTGCTCGGAGTGGTGACGGTGCAGCCTCCTCTCATGATGGTCGTAGAGGAGCTACAGCACAGGGACCTGCTCAACTTCCTCTGGAAATGCAGACAGGTACATGTTAGCTTTACTTCATTCGTGTGTGAGTGTGTGTGTGTGTGTGTGTGTGTGTAAATGTGTTACTCAGTGTGTAAATATTTGAATGAGACAACAGCGACAACAGAGATGCACAGAAGCAGTATTGGTATTCATAGGATTCCAATGCATTAATGTAACAACAAAGATGACATGCCAACTCTAAAATGTTATGTACTAGTGTTTTTTTTTTTTTTTTTTTAATAAATTTCTATAGGATAATGCTGAGCCTGGGTGTGAGATAACTGAGAAAAGGATCTACACCATGGCTCGACAAGTGGCTTCTGCTCTGGTTAGTCATTTTAATAGTGAAACATTCTCATTTTGTACAGTTTTGAGACTTGAACATGCATTATAATGGAGTTTGCTGCCATACTGACATTACCCATCCCTTGTGGTAGGACTACCTCCACACTCAGCAGTATATCCATGGGAACGTGGCGGCCCGCAGTGTCCTGGTGGGGCGTGATTTGACGGTGAAGCTGTGGGGTTTGGGCTCGGCGTACCGCAGAAGTGAGAGGGGGGCCTTGGGGAGCGAGGGTGCTGTAGAGGCCATGGAGCTCCGGAAGTGGGAAGCCCCAGAAGTACTGGCCCGAAACGGCGTCACCAAGAACAGTGATGTGTGAGTGTCACTTCTGCAATACATCAAAGTGCATAGAGCAGGTTTTAATATGCATATAATTATGACTAGAATAGTGTCTGTGATAAATATTTACCATAGTTTTACATCTGTCAATAGATAGTGAGGAAAAGGTAAAAATAAAAAATTTTACATTTTCACATTACACAGAAGACACAAAATGCCATCCATATATTTATGCACATTTTTCTGACCCTCTTAGCAGTCGTTTAAGTTGAGGAATTGTCATATATTTTTATTTGTCAAATAATAATTATTGTATAAATTAGACAAGCTTTGCCCCCTTGTGTAATATGATTAGTAGTTGTTAGGTGACAGTTTGGAATTACTCGGTGAAATGTCATAATTTTCAATCAGGAGGTAAAAATACAAACAACAAAAAATGCCTAAATTGGGTAAAATTGGTCAGATGTTTACAAAATCTTAAGTGGCTAAGTGAAATGAGCAGTCTAACCTGTCTTATGTCATTTTAATTTATTCATCTGTATGAAATTTACAATATATTTTTTATTTTTCTCAACAGATGGTCTTTTGGCATTCTGCTTTATGAAATGATCACATTAGGTGGGTATCTGAAGCTATTTTGACTTTCCTGAAGTAGGCTACACCTTTTACCTCTTACAGTATTTTTTGTGATGTTTTTCTTTCAGGAGACGCGCCGTTCCCTGAACTCTTGGCCACAGAACTGCTTCAGTATCTTCAGAGAGGAAAGTTTATGAAGAAACCGGTCAACTGCTCCAACGCACTGTAAGACACACATTTAAACAACAAATATTACTTTAGTAACTTTTGAACATTACCTTTATAACTAAGCAGCCTTTAGAGTGGTAGTAGTAGCAGTAGTAGTAGTAGTAGTAGTATACTAGTAAATGACTATCAAATATCTAATGATCCAGAGCAAAATATAGCCTAGGTTTAATTCTGTCAATTGGACAAAGTTTTCTGACAGAATTCAACCTTACCTGGCTCTTACCTAGATCTTACCTGGACCTTACGTGGATCTTACCTGGATGAATGAGGCATTACAACATAGATATTTAACTTTACTTAATTTTCTTACAATCTAATAAGAAGTAAATAGGTCAATATTTCAATTTGTCTGAAAAGTCATTTTAATTCAACTAACTTCGCTAAAGTTAATTAACTACCTATTACTAACTCAAGTAGCTCTAATATAGTTCTAAGACAAAGTATTGTATTTGCAACAACAAAATTACGTATAAAAAAGATAAAACATCATAGAGGAAGAAAGTGTGAGCAAACTCAATTTAGCAAAACCATTGACAGAACTTTATGAACATCAAGCTAGCGGTTTATTAACGCTAGTCAAATCTTTTCCTAAGCAAATTATGATGCTTTTGCCTTTATTTTTTGCAGATATTCACTCATAAAATCATGCTGCCAGTGGAATCCCCAACAGCGGATCTCTGTGCCCGCGCTCATCCGTAAATTGGAATCTGAAGAGCGGACAGCGAACGGGAGCATAATCCTGCGGGTCTCCGAGGTCATGGATGTGACAAAGTACTTACGAGAGGCGGGCTACGGGGAGGCCTACAATTATGCCATGTTCTGATTGGCTTTAAAAACTGTCAATCAAGATGAAGGCAAGTTGATGTATTCCAATTGGTTTAAAGACTGTCAATCAAACTCTCTAGGCGGGATACTGTGTTCTGATTGGTTCAAAGGACTCTTCAATCAAATGCTGCCTTGAAATGACACAACTTTGGAAGGATTTTACACAAAAAACTTGAAGAAATTATTATTTTTATGAAGTGTTTGCTACTGGAACTTATGTATTTTGTATTCTAAATTAATATATGTTTTGTAAATAATAATATCCCAATTTAATGCACTTTATGAGGAAAACAAGTGAGTGTGCAGTGTACAATATTACAATAAGATTTTATTATCTACTCAGGGACTGACATTAACAACATGAACCAACCTCAAAAATTTTGATAATTTTAAGTTTGCTCTGGGTGTATTAAAATTCCATAATAAACCATAAATTCTCCACTTTGGTCTATTGGATTGCATAGGTGCTTACCGTTAATTTTGTAGAAACTATGGACTGCACAATTCATTTTCATTTGAATAATAAAATCTCATTCAAGTATTAATGTTTTTTTATTATTATATATGTAATTCTCATTATTCTGCAATTGGCAACAAGGTTTAATTTGGGTTAGAAATCACTGTTGTTAGATCCCTGGTCTGTGTAGCCTATATAGTCGATAAATAGACTACACAGACCAATTTTTTTTGGCTCTCAGGTGTTCTGCTAAATTAGCCCAAATGACTTTAGTCAGTACTTTTTACTGCAAATTCAGGTATTGATATTACTATATTATTTTATTGCATACAGACCTTAACAAGCGCAATCAGAGATAGCAACCTGGTCCCCCATGAGGCATCGGTGGGGCCAGTTTATCACCATGGAAGCCATTACATGATGGTTATATCCACAATGCAATGTGTCTAGCTGTACAGTGCCCATTTCTGTGATATTGGTCACATATGAGAATGTCTGTGTTTACTAGCGTGTAACGATATATGTGATGTTATGTTATGTTAGTTGTGTGACTGTAGATCAGTGTGTTGTGTATCACCAGAAAAAGAAGAAATAGAAATTATTTTCTTTCCAATTAGAATTTTAATGGCATACACTGAAAGAGAAGGGAACTGTTATAATTAGTGATTATCTCAAAAACTATTCATATTTTACTATACAAATGCACAGAATTATAAATATATAATAATTTATCTGAGATTTTGAGATACTCCCGTTGTCTAACTCGATCCTTCGTGGAGTTATGACCAAAGATGCATATTTGACCTTGGTTACCTTGACCTTCAAATGACCTTGACCGGTTTCAACCTGTAACATCCAGTGTACTCTGGTTACGTGTGTGTCAACTTATGTGATGATTGGGTGAATATTTTAGCTTGCAGATGGTTCAGAAATTGTCGAAATTGCCTATCCTTTACAATGGCGTGACCTTTCAATTGACCCATGTGACCTCAAATGACCTCGAATAGTCACCAAACTTTTTTGCGGCATCGAGCACGAGGGCTGGACCCACGTACCAAATTTCGGTCCATAAAAGCCGGAATTATCGTGGATAATATTGTGGACACAGACACACACACACACACACAGACACACACACACACACACACACACAGACACACACATAGACACACGGTGAATACAAAACCTGGTCAAACCTTCGGGGACCAGGTAATTAGGCCTGGAGTTAGTGTTCCTGATGCTAATTCTTTGTAAAGGTATCTACCTCACAGTCTTGCTATATTGAGTGTAAGAGAATTTAAGTAATTTATCTTCCATGTACATCTCAGTTTAACATTGACACACCAAAGCTATATTTACACCAGGATCTTCCCTTGGCATACCATTGTCATACCACTATCTAAACTGTGGCATATTTCTGTCTAACAAGTGTCTACTGGCCTTCACAGTCTCACCACTTACTTTATAAACCTCCTCCTCCGGAAGCATAGTGAAGGGGCTTGAACACGCAAAGATCACACTATGTTCTCTTTTGAAATCATACTATGTTGACTTTTCACGTCACCCCAGGCCCATATTATTGATGGTAAATAAACTTCTCCTAATTAAGACATTCAGTTGGTCTCCAGCTTTTTACTTTCACCCTTTCTTGGACAAGCTGAAATCTTGAGCACCAGTCAACACCAGAAACAAATATGTTTCAATATGTGGCCCTCAGTGAAAAAGACTGGACACCCCTGCTCTATGTAGAAATCCTTTTAACATAACATAGCTTGAAGACAGAAGTATATAGTCTATAATCGTATCAAGGACTGCAGATGGAAACTAACAAAAACTAAAATTATGATATAATTATGCGCCAACACAGTAAATGTGGCTAGTTAAAATCCTACTTGGCTAGTAACTTTCAAAAATTTAAGAATAAAAGGAAATGTCAAGCGATGAAACTACTGACAAACAGCTGATGGACTGTAAAGTAGTGTCATGTTTTGGTGATGTACAAAAGTTAACCTCTCATTGCATTGTTGTAAAAAGAAAAACACACAAATTTAAAACAGTTGCTTGATTATTTATTTGCAAGATTTCGCTGTTAACCCCTTCCCAAAACAGTCCCTACAATATTGTACAGTTTCTGATTATCTCAAAAATGTTAAATAGTTTCCAAATTCAACTGAAATTGTGAATATTTGAAAACATCTGTTGCATTTCAGATTTGGCCTGGATGTAATGAGTTAAAAATTGTAATACATTGAAATCTTAAATTGGCTTCAAAATATAAATACACAACTACCAAAGATTATTGTTTTTGAAAATACTGCCACATTCACTAACATTATAATCATGTATCTAAGTAAATAGTTTTTAATGCTATGGAGAGCTAAGAGGAAGACAGAAGAGGAGAGGCTTCTTATGAATGTACAGCTACTATTTAGTGAATGCGAAAAGGCAACAGTTTGGAAAAAGTAAAAAAGTTAGCGTTACTAATATAAAAAGATATGATATGAAAAGCATTTTAAAAACACAATCTTTTTTCTAGACCTATTTGAAACTCGAAAGGCCACAAAAATCACAGAAATAGAAGAACATGAGAAAATGTCTACAGCTTTAAAACAAGGCAGTCCAGCAACAAAATGTGCATTTAAATACAAAAGGCAAATATTACACTTATTACAGTTTAGTTTAATGACAACGCTTTCACACTTCCATTCATACAGCGAGGATGTCTATGAGGTGTGTCCACAAAGCAGTAAAAGTACGAAGTAGTGACAGTGAAGATTTTTGTTTTATATCTAGTTTTTAAAAGTATGTATCATTCCTTGTGTTTTTGGACATTACACTATTCAATCAGATTTCAATTTTCTTGAATAAAAAGACAGTACCGTATGTGCATATATAGGTATACAGGTTTCTGAGTTTTTCTTACTTTTCTTACTTACTTTTTACCTTTTCTTACTTGGTTTGGTGAAATAGTGTCTGTGGTAAATACCGTATTTTTTGGACTATAAGTCGCACTTTTTTTCATGGTTTGGGTGTTTCCTGCGACTTATACTCCGGTGCGACTTATATATTAAAATTTTCACACTGACGGCCGCAAGAAGGCGCTCTAGGCTCGTCTGTCAGAATCTAGTACTACTTTTACTCCTGTACCACTGTCACTTCGCACTCTACTGCACATGTCTCCTGTATAAAAAGTCACTGTCTCGCTGCAAATTGTGAAATATGCAGCTGAAAATGGTAAGTGAGCAGCAGAAAAAAAGTTTGGAGTGAGTGAGAAACTTGTGACTGACTGGCGGAAAGCAGGGATGGAGAACACAACTTTACAGCAACCGGGCGGGTGCACCATGCAACTTTCCTGGATGTCACTGGATGAATCGACAAAGCCTGAACTTCAATGACAGTCGAAACCATCCTGTTCCTGGTCTCAAAATAGATTTCCCCAAAAAGTGCGACTTATAGCCCTGTGCAACTTATATATGTTTTTTTCTTCTTCATTGAGTATTTTTTGGCTGGTGCGACTTATACTCCGGAGCGACTTATAGTCCAGAAAATATGGTATGTATCACAGGTTTCCAAAAAATATGGAATTACCTATGTATGTCCTCATGCAACCATGAAATAAAATTATAATCTTCTCATAAATGACAAAACTAGAGAAAATCAGCCTTACTAGACAGATTTTTTGTAAAATTTTAAATATAATTACATTAACTCTGTTTTAGTGAGATGAGTAGTCTAACCTGTCGTATGCACTTCCAACTATTTTTAACATTTTATCCGGTAATTTCACAGATATAACATTAGAAATATGAGAACTGCAGGAACTTCAGTTGTATTATAGTGTGCAGAAACTTCTCTAGTCTGACCTCGCAGCATTAGGATTCGTTCGCTCAACGGTAGGTGGCTACTTTTTTATTTAACCAATCGCTGCTATTTGGTCATGACGTATGTAATGCGTCTCTAACAGGGATAACTGATATATTAAGCTTTTCCCAAATCCCGTAGGAAGAAGGACAGTATCCTCTCTCCCCTTGATAAAATTCACCAAATATTCTCTTTGTTCTGGCTTTAAATCCTCGATCTCGGGAATCATTGACAACACAGAATATATGGCTCTTCGATGTTTGGCTGGTGCCCGAACTTGCACTTCTGGGGTTTTTGTGAACCATCTAATGTATTCCGATTCCTGACCTATTCGCTGGAGAGAAATTAAATTACTAGTAAATTCATTATTTTAGTTTGTAGCTCAGTAGTTACTGGTTCTCGACTTTGACTGATACGTAAGTGGGTCATATTAACGTCATTTATATCTAATAGCACTACGAAAGTCAAATATTTTTACTTACACTAATACTTTTTAAGTGTAATGTCCATTTATTCACCACAAGAGGAAAGTCCAGACTCTAAGATACAAGATGCAAGCCTACAAATGATTATATTTAGTGTTTAAATATCTGTCATTACTTTATGGACACGCCTCATAGTCCCCTCATAGGTCCACATAATGCTGCCAGATACGACATTTAAAAGGCAGCTAAACGTATTTTCAAATAAGTATAATTCCCTTCCTCTAACTACTATTAGCATTTTTACTCACTTCATCAAATCAAACTGAACAGACACAAGCAGCCATTTCAACATGATTACATAAATACAATTCAAACAAACGTAATGCAAACTTATTGAAATGCGTATCGGAAAATGATAATGTCTTTAGTATTCGTTTCACCCTCTTTACTCTCTGGGCTGGATTGTTTCTGGGTGGCGTTTCAGAAGCCGTTACCCTGTTCTCCCCCTGTACCCTGTTAATGTAGGCAAAATTAAATAGGACATTCCCAAATCAAAAGTGCAAACTAAACGCTAGTGGAGTGCTGTTTCAAATGCTTCAGGACGGGCATTTGTGTGAGGAAATAAAGGCAGGAGAAGATACGTTTGGACAATGTTTAAAATAACTTATTCCAAGATAAATTAAAATAGATTAGGTTCTGAAGTTGAAAAGAAAGGTTAAATATTTTGTAAATGTTCGGCAGTTGGCAAAAGTGAACTCCCAGTACACAAGATAAAACCAAAGTACTGCATGTATTCCTTTGATTGGGCCTTGTTTACAGTAGAGCACCTGTCTGTACGAGTTCATGTTTAGAAAATCCTTTGTTTGCTAACGGGTATATTAAGCTTTTCCCAAATCCCGTAGGAAGAAGGGCAATAACATCTTTCTCTTCGATAAAATACACAGAACATTCTCTTGGCTCTGGCTTTAAATCCTCGATCTCTGGAATCGTTGACACAGAATGTATGGCTCTTCGCTGATTGGCTGGTGCCTGAACTTGCACTCCTGAGGTTTTTGCAAACTGTCTAGTGTATTTTGGTCCCTGACCTAGTCGCTGGAGAGAAATGAAATTGAGCGGAAGCACTAGTTGGCGCCAGAAACTACCAAATTCTAGCCAACATGTACAACTCCGCCCAGACTGTAATAACATAGTTTGCCAATTTTATAGCAAAACAAACACAACTTATTTGGGAAATTTAGAATTGTGTTGCCTGATGAAAAAAATGTTTTAACAATTTTTTGCAACAAATCTTATATTTTCTACAAATTGTTAAATAACAAATAGAATAAAATGGTGACTAAGGCCTCAGATCAAATACAGCAGTACACAGATTTTTCTCTTGCTTCTCCAAAACGTCAGCTGCCTTTAAAGCAGACATGTCAAACTCAGGCCCAAGAGCCAAATTTGGCCCGCGATATAATTATATTTGGCCCATGAGATCATATCACATATGTATATGTAGAGCTGCTGGCTACAGATAGACTATAGAGACATTATTTATTTCAAATTTTGTTATTATTTTATATTCTGCTTGTTCTGGATTCAATATTTAAGCAAAACTATTTTTAAACATTTATTTTAATAAGAAAGGTTTAACATTACATATCTCAAAAGAAGAGAAAACATGCAAATGGTGTTTAAATTTTTTTTTTTTTTTAGTTTGGACCACAACTTAGTCCCAGTTTTTAATTTTGGCCCTCTGTGAATTTGAGTTTGACACTCCTGTTTTAAAGCTATCCTCTGTAGGTTTATTTGTTTGTTTGTTTTTACCAGTAGATGGAAGCATCTAGCATCTAATAGTGTTACGTGAGAATACAACAGAGCCGGGTCAGCCAATAGTAGCTTTAACTAACAGCATTTACAAAATACTCACCTACGACTTCGTTAAAACCTGGCTTATAATTGACTGTGAAGCTTAAAGGTGATTTAGCTTATAAAACACGACAGCTCATGACTGGTGAAATGATGAGAACTATGTGCAAGTTAAACATTAAAATACTTCAGGGCCATTGTAATCAAACATCATAAATGAAATTAAGCTGGGGACGGATTTCCCAAAACACTGATTCTGATGCTCATTTATTTAACAGGAATAATTCTCTGTTTTTAAAATGAGTCGCGTTTTTGGTGACGTTTTAGTCTCTCAGGTCGTCAAGTAACTGCAAAATAATAAATAAATACAAATGTTGAGCTATGGAGGGGTTTCCCAAAACACTGTTGGTAAACAGGTTTAAATAACTAAATAATTTAAATCTCACCCCATCTGTGTCTCTCATATGGGCAGATTCGTTTTAATTGGTGATCATTTTGCACTGGTTGATCTCAAAATGACTTCCCTAAATGATGCCAATATTGCTAACCAGGATTAGTTCTCTTTTGACTTTTTCTGTGGACTGTGTCTCTTCAAATATGGGAGTGTGATTTTTAGTGTTGGGTATTTGAGTAAAATCAAATTATAGCTCATAAAAACAAGACATAGTAACACAAAAAACATAAATAAAAGGTCAATATTTATGACCAGGAATTCACGCACGGGCAGATGAGTTACAATTCAGTCTTTCAAGTTAATAAAGGTGCACTGTGTAATCTTTCTGCCGGAGGGTCCGTCACCTGCTTGTCTCCACGGAGATGTGCCTAGAATATTCCACCATATCGCTAACTTCTGCATTTCTGATAACTTACGAATCTCCATGGAGACGTTAAGATATTTTTGAGCAATAAATAACACCTGTAGGTTAAACAAATGCAAGACGGATTGGTTTAGCACCATACAGTGGACAATTTAAATCAAAGCATTAGAATCTCTGTGGAAAAAACAGGACCCCCTCCAAAAAAGTTACACAGTGTACCTTTAAATAACAATAAAAAAGTAAAAATTAAATAAAATCAAATAAAACAAAGAGCTGTGGATTGACTTCCCAAAACAATGGTGCTAATATCAATGATCAGGAATACTTCTTTTTGACTTTCTCCCACCTGTGTCTCTTCATATATGAGCAGATTGATGTTGTTTGGTGATAATTCAGTCTCTCAGGTACTCAGCGTTAAAAAAAAAAAAAAAAAAAAAAAGTCGAGTTGTGAAATTACTTTCCAAAACAATGGCGCCAATGCTGACGATCAGGAATACTTCTCTTGGACCTCTCCAACCTGTCTCTCCGTGTTTGGGAGTGTGGTTTGAAAGCTTCAGTCTCTCAGGTTGTTGATGTGGGCGCAAATCTTCAGCGCTGGGCCCAGTTTCATGTTCATGGTGGACATGAGGTGCTCCTCCTTCAGCAACAGCAGAGCCTGTCCATCGATCTCCTGAGAGAGGAACTGAGACGCCAGATCCTCACAACCTGCTCAAGAACAGAGAGCAATTTTAATTTAATACATATTGCATATTCTACATGAAAGTCATATTACATTGTTTTCTGATGTATGATCCAATGTTGTGTCCTCAGCAGAAACATACCTTGATTTGAGTTTTGTTTAATTAACACATGCTTAATACACACATTTAGGCTGAGTTTGTCTCACAAATTAGGCTACGTTTACACTGTAACGAATCACCGTATCGGAAATGATTTGCGTCCAGACACGTCGTTTCTGTGTCTTCTTTATCCACACAGCTTTGAGCATATTTGTTCATGTTTTACAGAAAGCGAACTTAAAACCGCATGGCTAATTTGCATAAACTAAGAGCTCAAAAAACAGCTCGCTATTGTGTGCTGATGCGGTTCAGCTTCTGTTGGACTAAAGGACACAACTCAGTGGAATATGAGTGTTCTTTCTGTGACAGAGGGGTGTTCTGCTGATGGTGAGTCTGTTCTGTGTTTCTATTGAATTGGAGATGGTTCATGTTAAACTTTTCAGAGATTATATGTCTGCAGGTCTTACGCATAGACTGTATATATGAATGGACATCTCTGGACAGCCTCTTAGCATTTTGAATTACTTTGCGGTGCACAGACCTACATCAGCGTATCAGCGTTTCCAGGCGTCCACTCTGTGCTGGATCAGATCTGTACTCAAATTAATTTGTGGGAGCTGGCGGCACCAGATCATTCCGTCTCTGGAGCTGTTTTCCATCGGATTGGTGTGAACGAACACTGCATCCTCAACGAAAATGGCTCAAATACATACTAGTGTGGACGGGGCCTAAGAATCTTGTGAGCTTTAAGCCATGTTAGAACGTTACCTCATCACAAACATACCAGGAGTTGTGTTTAGTTTCATTCTCACATGCTTGTGAAACCCTTTGCTGTTAAAGTCTATCTACATCCCTAAAGCTCAAAATGCTTTGTTCCACCTTGTGATGTCACATAGTAGAAGTTTTCAAGTTAATAGCTACCTTTAACCTTTGGTTCATAAAGATGGGGAATTCCAAGGCTGTATTTTTTTCAAATTATTCTAGTGAAGGTGTACGGAGTTTAAAAATGCAGTGGAGCACTTCCTGTAAGACCACATCACATAAGTGTGTTCTCAGTTTCAGTGAAAAACTCATCCTAAATATGCAGGGTCTGTGTGTTAAACGTGTGTGAATGAAACAAAACACAACTCCAGGTTTGTTTGTGATGAGGAAACAACATTAAAACAGATCAGAAAATAGCGTAGCATAGGCCTGTATTGAAAATAAACGACAACGCTTGGTAACTCACACGTAAGATAAGATAAACCATAAACCATAAACATGGAGGAGCGTTTCCAAAAATAAAGAAGTGTGGGTTTAGCTCTCCAGACAACAGCAGTGTACCTTGCAGTGAGGAGATGAACTGTGAGACTTCTTGGACGCTCCACTGTGCAGGGCTGGACATGGGACAACTGGGCGCAGATGGCTGATTCTGGGCAGGGGGAGGGGCCTGTGGCTGAGGGGGTGGGGCCTGCGGTGGCGGTGGCGGGGCTTGGTGACAGGATGTGGAGGAGGCGGGCGAGAGGGACATGGGGTCGTCTTCATCCTCCTCTGCGCTGGACTCCTCCTCTGAGCGACTGGACTCAGACCCACACTGGGAAAAAAAAGGAGGACGTTGTCTTATTTTTAACCATGAAAAAATGCTAAAATAAACAGATTTCTTTTGATCACCATTTTAGTTTTGCAAAGTTGTTCTGCTTAATGTCAGCTTTGGTATTTAGTAGGGAATTTGAGCTCAGATAACCAGTATTTATCTTCAATAGCTATAAAAAGAGGATTTACACTGTATATTTGCATTTGCAATCTGAGGGGGGTGCCACAAAATGCTACTTGGTCTGTGGGAAACACTGAAAATGTTCCATAATATGACTTAAATTTTTAAGTTTTTACTTTTAAGATAAAAGTATCTAGCCATGGAGTGAAGCAGGTGACTCAATCAGACAACGTCACAGGTCAGATTTGAGGAGAGGCGACCCTGCTCACAGAAAAAGAAAAATAAAAATAAAATAAAAATAACACAATTTTTGAGCAATAAAAATACCTGTAGATGTGTACCTGTAGATAAGTTTAATATCATACTGTGGAATATTCCAAGCAAAGCATGGAGACAAACAGGTGATAGATTGCCCAGCTGAGAAGTTACACAGTACACCTTAATAATAACTACACAATTTATGGACTAAAACATAAAGAGATACGTAAATATTATCTACTTGTCTGCAGGTAATTTCCATGGAAATGTTATTGCTTTGCCTAGAATGTTCCATGGTATACATTAAACATATCCATCCAGCATTTATTCATAACAAGTGTTTCTGTTGCTCAAAAAATACAACAATCACTTCTGTGAATAGGGGCGACTCTTCGCAGATCTGAATTATAATGTAATGTAGTGCTTTAATCTGGTCGTCTCCTTTGTGTGTGTTAGGTTTAATTCATACTGCGGAACGTTCTAGACAAAGCAATCACATCTCCATGGAGACAAGTAAGTGGCAGACCCTCCACCAGAAAAGTAGCGCAGTGCACCTTTAATTCATCATGAAAAAAATGTTTATTAAGAATGATTCAGATTTAGGTGTACAGTCGTCCCTCACTATAATGTGGTTCATCTTTCGTGGTCTCGCTGTTTCGCCGATTTTTTTTGGTGTAATTTTGCATACTTTTTTTAACAATGTATGAACGTGCATTGTGTTCCTCCCCCTGCGTCCTGATTGGCTAAGGGACTGTAGACCATTGTCAATCAATCTCCTCCGTGCCGTGTCTGTTCGAACTCTAGCAGTGTGATTCTGAAGTGCTTTATGTTTGCAAGTTTTCTCCCCAACAAAACCCACAATGTCGACAAAACGTTCTGCACCGAAGGCTCCTCTGGTCGCACCCAAAAGGCAGAGGAAGATGCTAACCATTGCTCGAAAACTTGGACTTCTGGACATGCTGAAGAAAGGTAGAAGTTACGCGGCTGTAGGGCATTTGTTACATTAAGAAGGAGTAAATTTACATAAGGACGACAGCAGCAATACGTTTTAAGAAGGATGCAAAAAGGGTTAACTGTCCTGTCTGAAAAAAGTGTATAAAGTTTGTGGTGAGAGGTTTTACAGCCTTAAAACAGATATAATAATTGTAAAATATAAAGTTGACTATGTTGCAGATTTCGCCTCTTAATGAACCTTTATAAATTAAGTCTTAAGGCTAATTACAGTGTAGTTATTATAGTGTCATTTTTATCATTCAGACATGTATAAAATAATAGTGATGAACCTTGTCTTGTGCAGCCCGTCCTGCGATCTTGGCACTGGCGATTTCAGAGCTGGTTCTCCTCGGGACTCTCCTCCGTACCGCTCCCCCCTCGTCCTCTGAGTTGGACCTCTCCCCCCGATCTCGGTCTCGGTCTCGGTCTCGATCTCGGTCTCGATCCCGGTCCTGGTCCTTGTTCCGGTCCTGGTTTTGGGCGTGGCTCTGTCTGGAGAAGGGCTGCCTGAAGCTCACGTTGTACCTGGGGAACCAATACATACTGTATCGTAGACAAAGAGTGACTATTCTGCACTGAACGGGATGAGCACAGACAAAACCAGTGACTTTAGCCTCATTCACTTTTAGCAGAATCTAAATGTGATGGGCAAAGAGACTGATAAATATACATAAATGATAAATATACGAACCAAATGTAACCTGTACTTTGTTTAGACCAATAATTCCCAAAGTCTTCATGTCATAATTTCAAAACAAAAAGTTAAATTATAAACCACAAAAACAGCCAAATCTGAAGAAATTTGCTAAATATTTTTATTTTTTGTTTAAACTTAAATGATCTTAGTTGTATATTTTGTTAAATGAATAGAACAATTTGTCACAAACACAATAAAATTTCACTGTATCCATGGTATGTCATTTTTGTAGATATTTAAATGATAATATATAAAAAAAGAATGCCTGAACCATTATTGCTTACATATTGTAATCTATGTAATTTATTTTCATATATTGATACACTAAAGTACCCTCATGGACCACTAGGAGGCCCCAGATCACTCTTTGGGAAGTACTGGTTTAGACAACAGCGTTATACAAGTGTACATTATAAAATATTAAAACAATGAAATACACATAAAGCTGATATGTGGAATGATATAAAAGCCACTCAGAATATATACAAATACATTTTAATAATAGTAAAATCGTGACGTTTCTTCTAACAAATATCGTAACACAAAATTTTTATCTCATGACATCCCTACTTTCTTCCAAAAAAGTAGCCAAAAAATTAAACGTCTTACAAAAAGTATTTCTAGTTACAGTAAAATTGATTTGCTCACATTATTTAAGAAGTGAAAATGTTGCGTAGCTTTGAAATGCGATTGGTTCTTCTGATATGGCTTTTATTGCAGGATATGAATACATGCTAAATGAAGTACCTCTTTGCACAGGACATAGAGCAGAAGCGTTTGGTGCCTCTGAACTGACTCTCGGGGGCAAAGTTCTTACAGTATTCACACTTCAGCACTGCAAGAGGAAACACAAAATAAAACATTATATTTTACGAAGTTCATGGCTTTCATATTATATAACTTGCATGAGCTTTTTAGTTGTATTTTGATAAATTCTTCCATGTTCGACTTGCTGTACCTGTATTTGTGGCTTGAGTGCTTAGAAAATTCCAGTATTCACCTACCCCCTATCACCTTGTGGACAGAATCGTACTGTTAACCGAAAGGAGGTTTCGAATAGGGCCCAGGAGAGATCACTAGATTCTTCATACATGCATGGATGGCTTATAAAATCTCTTGAGGCATATTTGTAAAGCGGGAACAACAATATAACATAAAAAGTCAATGGGCCTGTTTCTATTATTAAGCCATTTAAATCAAAATAGCTCTATTCACGCTTACGTCACAAAATCGGAAGATGTTTGGAAACATGCAGATGACGACTTCTGACATGGTTGGCAATGTGGTGATTGTAACTCTGACAAAATCTGGTTAAACTGAGAAAATGGCCTAGTTTTCTTCATCTAAATGTCATTGTAGTTTTTCTTTTTTCCTTTTATAATTTGCCTGTTAATTTGTGTACAGTTGTCCCTCGTTTTAACGTGTTTCACCTTTCGCGGTCTCGCTGTTTCGTGGATTTTTTTAGAGCAATTTTGCATCCTTTTTTTTTACAGTGTATGAATGTGCATTGTGTTCCTCCCCCTGCTTCGTGATTGGCTAAGGGACTGTAGACAATCAATCTCCTCTGTGCCTTGTCTCCTGTACAGTACAGAATGTGTTCAGTTTGCCAAATTTAAATAAATGTTGGATCTCTGGCAGTGTGATGCTGAAGTGCTGTATGTTTGCAAGTTTTCTCCCCAACAAAACCCACAATGTCGACGAAACATTCTGCACCGACAAAGGCTCCTGCGGTCGCACCCAAAAGGCAGAGGAAGATGCAAACCATCGCACAAAAAGTTGGACTTCTGGACACACTGAAGGAAGGTAGAAATTACGCGGCTGTAGGACGCCATTACGGAATAAATCAATCTTTGGTTCATTACATAAAGAAGGAGGAAAATAACATAAGGACAACAGCAGCAATAAGTTTTAAGAAGGAAGTAAAAAAGCGTTGTAACTGTCCTGTCTGAGAAAGGTGTAAAAAGTGTAAGTTTGTGGTGAGGGGTTTTACAGCCTTAAAACAGATATAATAATTGTAAAAAATAAAGCTGATCACTTCGCGTTTTTTGTCTATTGCGGGTTATTTTTTAGAACGTAACCCCCGCGATAAATGAAGGACCACTGTATTATGATTTGTCTAACAAAATACATTTTTTTATTGAGATTTAATTATAGCTTCCATTATGTTCAGCAGATGGACAGTTACAACCACTGCTGCTGAATCCATGGTTTTAACATATGCCCAGTTTCAGTAACTACATCGAAAGTCTCCATCCGCATGTTTCTAAACGTCTTCTGGTGAGCATGAATAGAGCCTATTGCCGTTTACAATTATCTCTTCCCAGTATGTAATGGTTTGACACTGTATAGCCCAAAAAAGCACAACATGTCTCCTTTAAGAAACAGGTATGTGAGTAATTTGAAACATGTGTCCATTATACTGTCTGCGTGTCCTTAGCTGTTGTGCTCCAGTGTCACTTTGAGGTGGGGAGTTCACCCTCGTAATTACAGCACATTCCTATGGCTCTTTCACTCAGACGCAGAAGTAAACACTGGGGGTTCTTCTGTTGTTTTAAGTATACTGCGCTGTATAACTGAGATGGAACTGTTTGTGTACTAAAGTCGTCGATTTCAAATATTTGTATAGTTGTTCTTTGTGTGTGTTAACAACCTTATCATACTGAACCTTTGGGTCACAAAACTGACTCTTGTGAGTTTTAAGTCATGTTAGAATGTTGTTACGTCCTCAAAAACATACTTGCACTGTGTTTCCAGTTTGAGAAAGGAACGCAATATGCTGGGTTTGTGTGAATGAAACACAGCTCCAGATGTATAAAATAGCATAATATGGGCTTTTTTTAAAAAACAATTTTTGGTACGACTTTATAATAACTACACCTTAATAAAGCTTTAACAAACACTTTATTCAAAGTTAGTAACTACCCTATTTTTCGGACTTTTTTCATGTTTTGGGTGTTTCCTGCGACTTATACTTCGGTGCGACTTATATATTAAAATTTTCAGACTGATAGCTGCGAGAGGGCGCTCTAGGCTTGTGTATCAGTTTTCTGCGCATGTCTCCGGCAGAAAAAGCCGCTGTCCTGCTGCTAATAGTGAAATATGCAGCAGAAAACAGTAATCGAGCAGCGGAAAGAAAGTTTGGAGTAAGGGAGAAATTTGTGAGGGACTGGCAGAAAGCAGGCATGAAGAACACAGCTTCACAGTAACAGGGCGGATTCATCACGCAACTTTCCTGGAAGTCACTGGATGACAAAGCATGGACTTCAGCATGGACTTCAGTGACAACCGAAGTTGTTTCGTAAACTTATGTTCTGTTGTTTATGCTATAGTTATCTGAATAACTCAATATGTTACGTTAACATATTAACGCCTATTCAGCCTGTTCTCTGTTCTGTTGTTATTACTATAACAATAGAACAGATAAAATGTTGGTTCCTGGTCCCTGATTTTATAAAATACATATTTTTTTTGGCTGGTGCGACTTATATTTTAGTTCGAAAAATATGGTACTTTATGGAGTTAGGGTATTAATTAAGTAGTTACTAAGTCTCAGTCATTCTTAATAAACTATTTGTCTTTTATGATTTAATTCTTCAACAAATATGTGTGAAAGTGAGTGTTACCTGGGGCTGGAGTTTCTGATTCGTTGTTTTCATGACTGTCATTAACAAGCTCCTCCCCCGAAGAGTCTTTCACTGGCCCACACACCTGTCAATCAAACACAACACAGTCACTATTTTCATCTTCACTTGCGAAGAGCAATATATTAAATAAACTACATTTGGATAATTAAAGGTGCACTATGTAACCTTTCTGCTGGAGGATCTGCCACCTGCCTGTCTATTGTTTTCAAGCAATAAAAACGCCTTCAATTCAATACATGCAATATAGACAAGATAGAATTTAATGCCATACTGTGAAACATTGCAGTACTGTATATTTTTGTATTTGTATTTTTTTAGTTTATTTAATTCTATATATATGCATGCCTTTTTATCATAGTTTACTTATATATCTATAGTTTACTACTATTATTCTAGTTTTATTGCAAAAGAAAGTCCCTAGTTTGTGAATTTTGTCCACCAACAACGGTAATACATCTGTGATCATAGAAACCAGCCAGTGGCAACCCCCCCATGATAAAAGTTACACAGTGCGTCTTTAAATCTGTACCTCACTCACAGGGAAAGGCTCCGCTCCCTCCTGGATAACGAAGCCTTCGATGAGGTGCGTGAGGACGTTGGGTTTGACCACAGCCTGAGGAGGAGCTCCGCGTTCTGATTGGACAGAACCACGAGAGACCGAAAGGACAGGGGAGACAGAGGAGGGGCGAGGGGGGGAGACGGAAGCTGAGGAGGGACAAAAGATGTATAAAGAAAGAAGGAACATGATCGTGAGACAGAATACCACTTTGAAGAAGCTATATCCTATTTGTTTCACTATTAAGGTAAAACTCTATTCTAGTGACTAAATGTTGTGAAAATGACTAATAAACTCATCATGGTAAATAATTAGAATGCTAGAAATGTCTTAGGAGTGTGAGGAATAAGTTTAGGTACAGCACATTTAAATGTTTGAATGTTTCTTGACAATAAATATGCAAAACTAGAAGTATGACAGGATAATCTAAGTAGTAGTACTCTTAGTGGTTGTTGTAGTAGCAGCAGTAGTAGTAGCAGTAGTAAAAATAGTAGTAGCAATAGAGGTAGTGGTACAAACCTGTTTCATTCTGATTGGTTGGGAGCGTAGAGTTGTGGTCTCTGATTGGTTGGAGTCGTGGAGGAGAGGGTCCATCTTCATCGTGAGCTGAGTTAGAGTCGGATTTTCTTTTGAGGGAACTGGCCGACTGCTTCCCCTAAAACAAAACAGGTTTGAGAAAAAACTGCAATATTACTACCATATGAGAAAATGTGAAGCTGATAAAACAAGTACCATCTATGTAAGGTTTTTATTAGATAGAAACGTACATAGCAACGATATGAAGAGCATACCACAGATGGTTGCCGGCGCTGTGCAAATATTGAATCAGTAGAGCCAAAAGTGACTCTTTCAGCACTGATTTCTGACATAGAACTAAATCAAAAGGAAGGTCTAGGGTAGAGAAATAATGTTTGTGCGTCATATCTTCTGTAAAATTAGGACTTTAGGCTTGTGATTAGATTTAACATGTCCAGGAGCAGTAGCATTTGTGAGAGAATTTAAAAAGAACTGCAGAAGTAATGCAATAACAGAAGATGCTTGTGGAGGTCTAAACTACAGGAAGAGAAGGTTTTAAACTTCGTGGATATTAGATCCACTGGCCTACAGGACTGGTATGACACTAAACCAACCTCATCCTCAGAGCAAGAGGTGAAAAACCCATTCATAATTTGTTGATTGCAGAAGAAATTATGCTAAATAAAAGCATTAATTACAATGAGCAAGTGTGTGTGACTGCTCAATTTGCATTTGCAATTTAAAATTTTAATGCACTTTTATAATATTAATTTATGGGAATGACATTTTTCTTTAGTATAAGTACTAGGACTGTCAAAAGTATTGAAAATCAGATATTAATCAATACTAAAACTAGTACCTAAACAAGACAGATTTAAACTAGATTTGAGAAGGAATCGATGCTAAAAAAGTCACATTCACACAGTCACAGAAATGAACCTCTCCTGAATAGCAAAAGAGAAATCCAATTTGTCAACAGCATTAAAGTTTATTTGGTTTTGGCCCTTTCGCAGCTCATCCAAGCTGCTTCTTCAGTTCATGTTCAGCTGAAGAACTGAAGAAGCAGCTTTGAAGATGCAAAACGTATTTGACCAAATACGCTTTTGTCCAGTTGACAAACTGAATTTCCCCTTTTGCCATGGATTCTACTAGCCTGATTCATCAGCCAGTTTCACTTCATTTCACTTCGTAGAAACCGTCTGACCTCGCAGTGTTAGAATTCGTTCGCTCGATGGTAGGTGGGTACTTTTCATCATTTAACCAATCGCTGCTATTTGGTCGTGACGTATGTAATGCGCCGTTGATGAGGCTAACTGGTATATTAAGCTTTTCTCAAATCCTGTAGGAATAACGTCTTTCCCCTTGATGAAATTCACCGAACATTCTCTTTGTTCCGTCTTTAAATCCTCGATCTCAGGAATCGTTGACAGCATTGAATGTATGGCTCTTCACTGATTGGCTGGTGCCCGAACTTGCACTTCCGGGGTTTTTGCGAACCGTCTAGTGTATTCTGATTCCTGACCTAGTCACTGGAGAGAAATGAAATTGAGCGGAGGCACAAGGTGGTGCCAGCCTGGCTAGGATTCTACCAGGACGACTGAGGGATTTACACACTTCCTGAATTGCTTTAGAATGATGTTGAGCTGTATCACAACAAGTATAAGAGCACATAGACTAGTATATGCACATGACCCACTATGGAACCTACCTGGACCACTGAGGATTACACAAATATAAGACCAAATGGGAACAGAAAAGAAAGTACTGTGATTTAATGTTGAAAATCACATTCTATTGTCTAAATAAAGAGTGTTTTTTATCATTGTAGTATAAGAATCGGTATCAAGTATCAAGTCTAATTGTTAGTATCAAATAGTGTTTAACATTTTAGAATCAGAATAACACTAGTAGAGTTACAATATGTACAGTGTTGAGCCCAATATACCGTACTGTGTTACCTGTGTGGTGTTGCTTCTCGCTGAATCCCCATTGGTCACTGCACGTTGCTCGTCCGTCGCCCCTGACAACCGTGACGACGGAGACGCGTTACACTTCTGGGAGGCAGGGGCGGGACTCGGCGTCACGTGTCCGTTCTGTCCCGCGCTCTGATTGGTCTGTGGATGCACTTGCGACACCTGGGCCAGTGGGGGGGCCTCGCTTGGGGACTGCAGTGTCTTTAGCCCCACCCCTCTCCCCACCACTCCGCTTTCTCTGGACGCTATCGACGCTACCATCGTCAACAAGCTAGAAGAGCTACTCAAAACCGAAGTCCCGTCTTGGTTGCAGCTGTTTCGCGCCAAAGCTAACGCCTGGGTGCTGCCTAAAGTGCTGGGTCGTGCTCCTACGATTTGCACGGGGATGTGGGGGGCCTGGTGGGAGGAGCTTGTGGAGGTGGGCGGAGCTGGTAGGATGGGGGGAGGGTTCCGTGTGGGCAGTTGGAGGGGGAGTCTCAGTCCCTGCAGGGTCTTGGGTTGGATCGGAACCGGACCATTGCCGGATTTGTCCGAACCCAAAGCGCTTTTCTGTAGAGGCTGACGAGAGTGAAGCTGCGCGGAAAGTAGGTGGGGCCCATCACCTGCGGAAAGAAAGTTACAAACAATTACATCCATTACATCCAAGATACATTCAAAAACACTTTCTTTCTAGTAACTTCTTTTTACCCCAACTCACCCTTGAACAAGTAGTTACTAAGCCTAAATCATTCTTCATATTTTACTTGTACAGTATATTATATTAGCAATAAAACCTGAGAAGATCCTGCAAATGAATAAGCTTATGTGATAAGTTGAAAACCATATTATTTCCATGGAGACCAGCAAGAGACAGACCCCCTACCAGAAAAGTCCCATAGCTGACCTTTAAATCTACAGTCATATTGATTGAATATTGACTAATTTGTGAATGTTTCCAGCTATGCACCACAATGCTTCATGTTTGTGAGTTCTGTACCCGACTTCTCCGCACCGAGGGAGCTCTTCTGCAGCGGCTGCACCACCAGCGTCTGTGCGTTGACGGCGGGTTTGATGGTGGCCGTGTATCCGTGGGTCTGGGAGGTGGAGGTTTGGACCAGGATGTGAGCGGCGGTGGGGGCGGAGGAAGTGAGGGTCCTGGGGCCGTGGAGCAGGAGCTGGGAGAGGGGGATGGATGAGGTGGAGGAGGAGCCAGACGAGGAGGAGGCGGTCTGGGCTTTGAGGCTGTTGGGAGCGGGGTACGTGGGGATCTTTATGTGGGACTGAACGGGTTTGGATGGAGACTGGGGCGTCGACTGGTGGGACGGTTGGACCAGGGAAAATGGAGCTGGAAGAGGAGAGAAAAAAGAAATAAAGATTGAATTTTCTAGCTACTGTTTCCTGTCTGTCCAATCACCTCAAACAATTCAACCCATAGCTTGATAAACATTCAACGGATAATTTGCAGCTGATAGGACTTGAGACTTGACTTGGTAAAATGGACTAAGAACATTTAAAAAGGAAACAGTAACTAAATTAATTTCTACAACTCTTATTTACTCCATAAATACTCATATATGAATATACTATAATTTTTTAAGTACAATTAATAAAAAAAATCATTTAAATTGAAAAAATCAAAGCTGAATTTGGTACTTTGGTTTAAAGACTTGAAACTCAATTTGAACTTGCCTGTATTTGACTTGGGACTTGACTCGGACTTGAGGTCAAAGACTTGAGACTTACTTGAGACTTGCAAAACAATGACTTGGCCCCACCTCTGCCTGTTACTCAAGTTAGACTTTAATTTGTGCTTTATTTTAACATAATCTGACCATAAAGAACGGACTTAGCAGGAATTCCAGGTGACATGCTTTCTGCTACAAGTCCCTCTTAAATACGGTGACCAGATTTTCAAAATCAAAAACTGGGACATGGCCGGTTTGTCATGGTTGGTAATAATAAAATTGTGAAACGAGTGCGTAATTAAGGAAAATTGTTCTGCACTCGGCCCATTCATGACTTATCGTGAGTCACTATAGTCACATTTGCTTTGTGTTTTGGTCATTTTTAAGCAGCTTTTCTGTATTTTACCTAAACAAATGACAATTAATGCCTCTCTTTACTGCTGGCATGTGTCAGATTTGTCAAAAATAGAGACATCAGGGACATTTCTTGTATAAAACTGGGACAAATTACTGGTTTATATCAATCTGCTGGGACGGGGGACACAGGGCTCAAAACTGGGACTGTCCAGGATAAATAGAGACATCTAGTCAGCCTACTCTTAAAACATTAAACATTGCAGCCACAAACGAGACAACAGTTTTTCAGTTAGTCACTCTCAAACTCTTTTGTGCTTCAGACTATTGTAAACTAGACTGGTGTTTGCTTATGTGTGTACTGTGTCACCATGGACAGCTGGACATTGTTTTTGAAAGAAATATCCAAATTTCTGGTCCACAAATGCTGAACCTTATTATTATTTGTTTGGGACTGGCTCCACAAACTTATCATAATAATCTTGTGTCTTTACTTCCTTTCAGTTGACAACCATCATGTCTTTAGAGGTGAATAATGGCACCAATTTCAGAAGCTGCTAATGGGTATTGTAATATCTTATGAACACAACTGATTTAATTAAAAATATTGCCAATATATTTCTTCTCTCACCAGATTCACTCCTGTCCGGTGCTTCAGTCTTGACCCCCCCAGTTTTTGGAGTAGGTGCACTTCGGATGGCTAAATTCTGAGCCTATAAAATGAATAAAACAATGTAAAAGTTGGACCTGCACTAAATACATTTCATATTAGATAAATGAATCAGGACAAATAGTTAATTTCTTCACCTGCTCATTATCCTGTGCACCACTGGATGCGTTTACTTCCTGGTTCTGTTGCTGAGGTGGTGGTTGCTGGGTGACGGTTGCCACAGCAGCGGTTGCCGTGGAGCTGGGCATGAAGATGAGCTGAGGGGAGATAGGTGTACGCAGTGACCTATTCACCTGAAACACAGAGCAGTGACCCACAGGTGAGTGAAGGAGTATTCATACAGACTACCATATATACAAAAAACAGATGTCTTGAGCAGTATATGCATAGTTACGTTACAAGTTTGTACATGTTGGTGTAGTGGTGTATTTGAATTCAATATTAAATTGAGACTAGACTGACATTGGTTTGATGTAGATAAAATGCCTATGACAAGTTAACCTTTATATTATATTTAAAGCATCAAAATAATGTGTTTCTTCTGTAAATTGTGCCCAACTTTTGGAATCTCCTAGTGTGATGACATCAGTATCCAACTCTCTAAAACTCTGCACTTCCTGTAATTTTCAACATATTGTTCAGTTTTGTTCACAATTTGCTTCTTGATTGGTGTAGAATTATAATTTATATTTGCAACAGGTATTAATCCCACCAAAATACATCAAAATTTGAGAATAATCCACACTATGGCCTTTAAAATGGCTCTACCCCGATGGGTAAAAGCTGAAATATGTCTGCTGACAGCCAGTTGCAATGATATTAGGGGCGGGCGATTTGTCAAAAGAAAACACACATTTTTTAGATCTGAGGTCACTATTTCATGTTCTACTTAGTACATTTTTATCAGTCATTACTGTCATCTGCTGCTTCTGAGAGTTCATACTTCACAGCAGTTGGTTAACTCCATATGTCACTCATGACGAGGGCTGACTAAGGAGCAGTGGGTGGGTAAGCGTGTACGTTTGGGCAAAAAACTGCGTTAAAGGTGCATTGTGCATCTTTTCTGGTGGAGCGACCAGCATCTGCTCGTCTCCATGGAGATGTTATTGCTTTCCCTGGAATGTTCCATGGTATGACATTAAACATATGACTCTAGCATTTACTTTCAGGTCCATACCAGCCAGAACAAACTGACTCAGGGACAGCTTCTTTCCCAAAGCTGTCACTATACTGAACTCAACTTTGCACTGAGAACTGTTTATTTGTTTTTGTTTTTTTTCACTTTGAAGGAGCAGCTCTGCATCTCATTATACTGTGTATAATGACAATAAAGGCTTTCTATTCTATTCTATTTATTCATTACAGGATTTTCCACTCCTCAAAAATACAATAATTCCTTCTGTGAATAGGGGCAACTCTCCACAGATCTGAATTGTAATGTAGCGTAGTGCTGCAATGAGCTTGTCTCCCTCGTGATAGACAGGTTTAATCTATATTGTGGAACATTCTAAAGAGGTAATATTTCCATGGTGACTCCACAACAAATATTACGCAGTGCACCTTTAAACTGAAAAGCATCATCACAAAGCTACATCACAATATCCAACAGCATATTGTAACAAGATTAGAATATTTATTAGCCCAGTCCTAATTGCTGTTTAGGAGTCCCTGTTGTCCCTGCTGTTTCCTGTGCGTGTGCTCAGTGCGGCGTCTGTGTCGTGCTGCTCAGAGACCACTCGTCTCTGTCACAGCACTCAGCCCCCATGAGTGGCTGAGTCAGGACCCCTGCGCTACTCATCACAGCACACAACTAAGACACAAAGAATCATAAAGTAAAGCTCTGCAGTGACTGAAAGTGAATCAGAGCTAAAAGTGCACTGAGTAACTTTTCTGGTAGAGAGTCTGTCAAATGCTTTTCTCCATGGAGATGTTATTGCTTTGTCTGGAATGTTTCACAATGTGGTATTAAACCTTTCTATCTTCACGGAGACCAAACCAGGACAAATTACAGTTACAGGAGAGACTACTCCGCTCACAATCAGCATGCGTTTTTCTTAGTATTTTTGAGCTATAAAACCACCTGGAATTGAATAAATGTAAAGTAGAGCTGTTTAATGTCATATTGTGGAACACTCGAAGTAGAGGAGTGACATATCCATAGGCAATTAATTGCATTTTAATTAAGATCGCGATTCAGTCATTTCAAATGATCAATGTTCAGCTGGCGTTTCAGACTTTTGAGTCTACAGACAATTCTCTGTCAGTGGTTTGGAGAAGAATGTACTCTAGATGGAGAAATAAAATCAAAGTTTGTATTTTTTATGTTTAGGAAATTATTTGCTTTAGAATTCTAAAATTGAAAATTGTGTTGATCAATATGAGCTTTTTATTTTGTGATACCGCCAAGTCCTAATCAGACCACAGGGCTCTGCAGTTACAGAAAGTGCAAGAAGTTCACTATGAATACTTGAGAGATATTTAAAAGTAGATATATTTATTCTGTCAGGCAAAATAAAGATATGCAGGACTCACCCTTAGGTACATCTGACCCTGTCCTCCAGCCGCTCCACTGAACAGCACTGATTGGCTGATGGTTGACGTGGCAGAGGCGTTGATTGGCCGGCTGCTGCTGGGGGCAGAGCTAGACCCAGAAGTGGCACTGGCCTGAAAACATACGAAAATACAAAAACACTGATATAAACTTATATCAGAAACTGATATAATGGGAGTTGGCGCTGCCGATAGCCGATATAATCACCGATATATTTAGTGATGTAAAAATTCACTGTAAATCTTGAATTGTTTAAAAAACTTAGGTTTGGCTCTAGTGGATTCTAAACTGGGTTTATTTAGGCAACATTTATTGTTATTCTGACTCTTTACATCATATTTACATACAGTAGATTGGCCTAATGGCATTTTTGCATCACATTCTAGCTACTAGTGATGGGTATTCCAGTTTTTTTTTTGGGAGAACCGGCTCTTTTGGCTCGGCTCACTAAAGCAGCTGGCTCTTTCGGCTCCCAAGCGACTCTTGAGATTGTTTTGTTGCAAGCAGGACTAAACCAGAACTGAACCAGGACTGAAAAAGGACTAAACCAGATTTAAACCATGTGTGAAACAGGACTAAACCAGAACTTAACCAGGTCTGAGTGTCGGGACTCGGTTTCTATCTCTCTCCCTCACTCGAGCCCAAGATTAGTCCTGGTTTATTCATTTTATGTTGAACTACAGCCAAATATGCACTTTTTAAAAAAATCCTATGCACACGCAGATTTCTGAACGTTTCGTTTTCAGCCGCTGCTGCTGTCAAACTACGGCTCTACAAGCGGCTTGAAGAGAAAAAGTGAGAAAAAGAGAAAACACGGCTCCCAATAAGAAACATGCTCCCGTCGTTCCCTTCAAAGAGCCGGCTCTAAGAGCCGCTTCGATCGCGACCGACCCGTAACTCCTAGCTAGAAAAGAAACTACCGCTATTAGCCTTTAGCCGTAAAAACGTGCGCACCGCGGTAATTAATTATATGCATAAATGTGGATCATTCACACGTCTATTCACAGCTCATTTACATATCAATGCTGGTCCAGTAACAAATATACGGACAATACAGTCACTTTACAATAGGCCAATAGAAAACAGCCTGTTTATGTGCGGGAGCTACAGCAGCTAATCGCTAACAGATAACCCCTTCAAAGTCGACATATTTCCAACACTCACCGCTCACACAGGCTCCTCCTCACATCACAAGTCTGCACTAATAAATGTCCTTTTAATCCAGACTCAAACCGATTGTCCATAAAAAGAATATAATCTCAGTGTTGCGCACGGCTGCGGGTGTAAACAAACACACGTGAAGTGACGTGACTCTGGGGGTGTGTTCAGGGACAATACGGACACAAATTACACCGCAAATAAATACTGATGCAGAGCCACATATTAGGACATCGATCTGTCTATAAATTGGATTAAATGAACATAATGTCGAGAGTCTAAGCTTTATAACGAGGTATAACATGCCCACGTGAAATATCGGCCCATATCAGCAAGCATATCGGCCGATAGCCGATATGTCTCCAGGTGCCCATTTTGGCCGATAATATCGGCCAGCCGATATATCGGTCGGGCTCTATTAAGAATAGCATTGCTTAAATTAGAAATAAAAATAAAACGTCGACGTACAGATGTGGTGCTGGTGGTCTGAGTGGAGCTGCTGCTGGACGGACTCGATTGACGACTCGCAGCTAAAGTCGCCTGGAAGAGAAAGTAAAATGAAGTTTCATAAGACTTTATTACTCACTTCAAAGCCACTGAGAGAACCAATGCATAATTTACTGTAATAGTTTCTATAATATGTTTCCACATTCAATGTCTGATTGGGGAACAAAGATCCACGTTTTATTACCTAATCAAAAATGTATAGGGATTATAAGGATTTTTATGCACAACAGCAGAAAGACAAATCCATGGAGTGAGGTAGCTTGAATTCTGGAAGTGACTGTTTGTAGTTTGACCTGCCTTTTCACAGAAGCTGTTTACTAGTATTTCTGTACTGTCTGAATAATGTTTGCTTTTGCTAATGCTTTTACCAATTCCAGGTCTTCCCCCATGTCATCCAAGAATTCCTTTACTTGACCACGCCCTCCTCTCACCTTAATAACAAAATGTCCTCTCTCACCTTGACCTGTTGCACGGCGGCCAGGTTTTGCAGTTGGGCGTTGTTGATTTGCTGTTGGAGCATGAGCTGCTGGAAATACTGCGCTGCGTTGGGCTGCCTCTGTAATGCCTGGAGTGCCTGAGGAGAAAGAAAACAAATATATACTAATGTTATTCTATATGGAATGACGAAGAGTAGTTTATGTGTGTGTTTCCATGTAATGCTTGGAGAGAAATGAGAGAAATATAGAATTAAAGGTCCTATATTACACACAACTGAGAGATTTTAGTCATGTTATATTGCTGTTACTTCATTAAAAACATACCTGGCAGGGATGTAACGATAACCGAAATATCGTGATATCGTATCGTCAAAGTTCTCACAATAATACCGTGGACCATCACAATATATCAAATTACAAGTCTCTTTGCTTAAATGAAGAGTTATGGTGCAGCAATAGCTAAAAAAAGACAGAGTGAACTACATAGACCATGATCCTTTGCTCCATTTCAGTGTAGACTACAAGAAGAAATAACAGTTCTAAGCACTTTTAAGTCTTAGTTCTTTGGTCTTGTCAAGACATTTGAAGAAGAAAAAGTAGCATATTAACAGTTTTAGCTGTTTAGCCTCCACAAAATATCGCAATAAATATCGTACCGTGAGATGTATATCATGAAAATATTGTAGCAAGAGATTTGGATATTGTCATGAGTTTTCCCATGATATCGCAATAAATATCGTACCTTGAGATTCATACTGTGATTATATCGTATCGGGAGACTTGGATATTGGTACACCCCTAATACCTGGAGGTGTGTTTTGTTTCATTCATATATGTTTGATATGAGTCTGTCTACATTTTCAAAGCTCAAAATGCTCTGTTCCACTTTGTGATGTCATGAAGCGATAGTCTGAAAGTTAACAGCTGCTTATTACCATTGATTAGTAGAGAATTTAATACAAAATTGATTTCAACAGCACATTTTCAGGCACCTGTGATCAATATATGGTTCTCATAAGGTTTTAGATTTTCAATAAACACGTAAGAGTGACTAACTGAAAAACTCTTGCCTAATGCTTTGAGAAGGACCTAACTAGGGCTGGGTATCATTAAGAAGTTGTCGATACGATACATACCTCGATACAGTGAGCTTTCAATTCAATACAATATATTTCAAATTGATTCGATACAGTTCAATAAAAAATAAAGCTTAACTCATGTCTGTCTTTATTAAACCACTTCTTGTGCAAAGTTACTCATCAAACAATGAAAATGTCCAATGTGTTGCATGAAAAAGTTTGCTTCCTCTGAAAAAGCAACAAAACTGTAGCTCAGTAACAAAATAATTTAGTAAAATATACCAAAAAATGCTCTTGGCGATATATCGATACAGCAGCCCACAATATTGATTCTGTATCATCACATTAAACAATACGATATCGATATTTAGATTTTTTTGCACATCCCTAGACCTAACAGTAGTAACATCTGCTCACCTGGTGTAGTTTCAACTAAGTCAGTCATTTCTGCTCAGATTGTGTTGAAATGAAGCTCAAATTAAAGTCTAACAAAGCCTCAGACAGAGTGTGCCTACAGTTAGCATCACACTAACACGGAATGTTGATGACATCAGATGCAAAGTATCAACAGACAGAACAATATACAAAGCCTGCAAACCCCGAAAATACGAAATGTAATCTCCATATGTGAGTGTGCCTCAGGAGCTTAAGACAAACAGAGAAATGTAGTTATATTGTGCATGTGTGTGTGTTTACAGGAGCTACAGAGCCACGGTCTACGGCTCGGAAAAAACATGCATTTGTGAGTCAGTTTGAAGGATGAGCTGCCACAGGACGCCAGATGGAGCAAGAAATCATAAAGAAACATGAGAGAATGAGGGCTGTGAAGAAATCATGGACAAAAGACAGCTTTATAACTCCATACACTGCAGAAAGTTACATTATTGGGTTGTCTATAACCAAAGCCCGAAATACTCTGTTCTATCTTGTAATGTCAAGTTAACAGCAACCTTTTACCTTTAGTTTAGTACAGAACTGAAATTCTACAGCATAAATGATGCAAAAGTGTTTTTAGTTTGAGAGAAGAACTCAGTGTAAATCTGCAGGGTTTGTGCATTAGACATGTGTGAACGAAACAAAAAACAACTCCAGGTCTGTTTGTTTGTTTAGATCTGAAAATAGTGTAATATTGCTTGATCACTGACAATTAAAAATAAGGACATAACGATATTCAACTCTCACAGTACAATAAATATCGCAATCATTTGTGGAGATTAAAAAAAGTGTGATTATGCTACTTTTTCCACTTAAAATAATCTGTGTGTCATTCATTCATTCATTTTTCAAAATAAATCCAAAAATAAGAAAACAAAAAAAAACTACTGTCTTCTTCATTATTTGTCTCCAAAATCAAAAAACAGATAATGATTCGTTTTTTTTCAGTTTTCGATTTTGTGTTTAAAGCAATAATGGAAAAAACAGATAACGGCTGTTTCCCGTTTCCTTGACTTAAACTGCGATGCCGGACTTTTACACCGCATACGGATGAACCAGGACTAAACCAAGACTAAACCAGGACTAAAACATGTCTATACCAGGTCTAAACCAGGTTTAAACCGGTCTCAGTCCTAGTCTCAGTCCTGGTCCTGGTCCAGGTCCAGTCCCGGTCTCAGTAAAAAACTGGACTAAACCAGGACTAAACCAGAACTGAACCAGGACTAAACCAGAACTGAACCAGGACTGAACCAGGAGTGTCGGGACTGGCGTGGACGTGCGCCTGCGTAGACTGTCGGGTGATCAGGAAACTGGGACCAGACTAGGACCAGACCGGGATTGAGACCAGGACTGAGACCTGGTTTAGTCCTGGTTCAATTCTGGTTTAGAGATAGTTTAGACCGGTTTAGTCCTGGTTTAGTCCTGGTTCAGTCCGTATGCAGCATAAAAGTCCTTCATCGCAGTTTAAGTCACGGAAACGGGAAATGGCCATCATCCGTTTTTTCCATTATTGAATTAAACCCAAAATTGAAAAATAAAAAACGAATCATTATTCCTTTTTTCATTTTGGTTTTGGAGACAAATCATGAAGAAAATTGTTGTTTTTTTCATTCTCTTATTTTTGGTTTTATATTGAAAAACGAATGAACGAATGACACACAGATTTAAAATGCCTTGACAAGCCTTTAGTTCTGTCATAATCCAAAGAACTAGGATTTAAAAGTGATTAATAACAGTTATTTCTTTACGTAGTCTGTATTGAAATGGCGCAAAGGATCATGGTCTATGTAGTTACCTCTGACGCCACACTATAGCAATGAATTTAAGTCAAGACAATATACTGTGATGGCCCACGATATTACTGTGAGACTTTTGACAATATGATAGCACAACATATTGACTGTTATTACATCCCTAATTAGAAATAACTAAATCTCGATCTTAATTAAAATTTGAGTAATTGCACAGCCTCAGGAGACAGTAGCAGATTTAGATTTCGACAGCCCAGCGCAGAGACAGATGGAGGGAGGGGCTGTGTGCTTCAGTGGGAGTGCTCCTGTCGGCTCCTGTCTACTCCTGCCTGCTCCTGTCTGCTCCTGTCTGCTCCTGATATATGAGATACGCCTGTCGCTGTAATAAGTTTAAGCAGAAGGAGCAGAGGAGCGTGCGTTCGAGAGAGGGGAGCAGACAGAGATGAATGGGTCAGAGAAACAGCCCCCATGGATCCAAACGATAAACTACAGGAGACTGTCAGAGAGCTGCCAATGAGAACTTAAATCACGCATGAGTCTACATTTTAAGCACATGCATCAATACTTATTCCTCTAAAACATTTTTGTAATAATAGGATAGCTGATATTTTTGGATAGAATTTGACAGAAGAATTTGGATAGAAGAAAAACACATTTACATATTTGAATAACAAACTCACTCTTAATATTAGAGGCTTATTTTATAAATTTACCATATCTTCCCTCATTAATTAGGTACTAATTAGGTATATTAGGAATGTAACAATAACTGAAATATCGTGGTATCGTATCATCAAAGTTATATCAATAATATTGTAGACATTCACATATATCGGATTACAAGTCTCTTTGCTTAAATTAAGAGTTACGGTGCAGCAACAGCTAAAAAAAAAAAAAAAAACAAAAAAAAACAATAAGACAGGAACTACATAGACCATGATCTTTTGCTCCATTTCAGTGTAGACTACAAGAAGAAATAACACTTCTAAGCACCTTTAAGTCTTAGTTCTTTGGATTAAGTCTTGTCAAGACATTTTAAGAGGAAAAAGTAGCATATTAACAGTTTTAGCTGTTTACCCTCCACACAATATCGCAATAAATATAGTACCGGGAGATGTATATCGTGAAAATATCATACCAAGAGATTTGGATATTAGTGATAACGCAATAAATATCGTACTGTGAGGTTCATACAGTGACGATATTGTATCATGAGTTACACCCCTAGATTACACCCCTAATTTCTTTTGATTCATCTATGTTTGAATAACCAGGAATTGTCCTTTATTTAGTAGGGTTGGGGCAAGATACAATTTCCACAAGACAAGACGAGACCTGAGACTGGATCCACAAGAACAAGACAAAATGAGATTTTTACATCATTTATACAAAATAAATAGTGCAATCCAGTTCTCATTTTTGGCATCACCATTTATTATTTACTTTATTAAAGCACTGTTTTTGGGACTACAGCATCTCAAAAAAATTAAACTCTTCAGTACTTAACTAAATTTTTTATCCAATCCAAACGTAAAAACATGGAAAAGAAATGTCACAGGATAATTTTTCTCATGTGTGCACAATCTTGAGACGATTTTGTCTTGGGAAATCTTGTCCCTTCCCTATAAAATTTTTGTTTTTACCAACCCCGTATCTCCACCTGCTGTTCTGAATTTACTTGGGATTAGTCAAAATTAAAACTCCTGGTGCTCGGGTTAAAACATGTCTTGTAGTCATTTTTCAAGAGTAAAATGGGTCAATGAAAATCTGCTGCTTTTACTATAGGGAAATACTTTGAAGAGGTGGAGCATTCAGGTGTACAGTTTCTAAAGGAAATCAAGTCCCCTTTCTCTTAATAAACCAATATCGTGTTTTACATTGAACAAATGTAAAATAATGATCTATATATGTTAGTTTAGTTCCGCATTCCAGAAAAAAAGGCTTAATTCTTCTTTCTTCTGTACAAACTAGACAGCACAGAGAGGGAAAAGAGAGAGATTCATGTATTTAAATGAGCCTCACCTGTACGGCCTGCCTCTCATACAGACTCATGGAGTTCATAGCGGAGGGGCGGGAGCTGGTGCCCGACGCTGCGCTCCCATTGGTCGAGGCCCTCTGCTGGTCCCCGTCCGTCTCCATGGCTGCGGAGAGAGACAGAGAGGTCATGGGTCACTCTCAGGGTCAAACTCAGGGTCAAACGTGGGTGTTATATAGAACAGCGGGTCAGAATGAAAGGCAGAATCAATAAATCAGAGGAAATGTCTATATTTAAACGTAACAGCGCAGCAAAAGTAATAGGAATGAATAAATTTAAATAAAAAATGGACAATAAACCAAGCAAGTAAACAGTAAACAGTAGATCTAATGCTACTTCAATCTAAAATTCAGATTACATTAATATAGTTTTCTCTTGTTTCTTGTTGTAAATACAGACTAAAAATAAAAATACACAATAAAACGTTCTCTATATAGCACAAAAACAAAACAGTAACACAATATATAACAGAAAGGTATATTACCAAGTTGTCCCTACACAATACAATTATGTAAAAATGTTGAGTGTTTCATTGTAGGTGGATAATACAAGGTTATACAGAACAACCCGCACCAGCCCAGACTAGTACCACTAACTACAGACAGACAGACTCCACCCACTCAAGCCTCGAAGAGCCAATCAAAACCAACTCTGCAAAGTATAATTACCCAAACAAACAATGTGACCAACCCTCCTTTGTCATTTATATAAAGATTATACAAGATCCATATAATTAAAATGCACTATTCACAGGCTATTTTTAGTCGTTTCCAAGTCGTTGTCAAGTTGAGTTCACAAGACAGAAATAAACCTTTTGTGAACAGTTTTAGAATGATCTTGAGCTGTATCAGAACAAGTATAAGAGCACATAGACAAGTAGACATGGACCACTATGGAACCTGCCTGGACCACATGGGAATAGAAAAGAAAGTACTGTAATTTACTGTTGAAAAAGAGTGTTTTTTTATGATAAATGTGGGATTGGAATCAGTATTGAGTATCGAGTCTATTCCTTAGTAGTGAAATCAAGTTTGAAATTTTAGTATCACGCCACCACTGTTTCCAAGTACTAAAAGCTTCAAGTTTTTTTCTACATGGACCTTATTTTAGTATCTGATATAAGCACTGATTCTGAAACATTAGCTGGATCAGATATCAGTTTCTGAATATCGGTTCCTTCAATATCCTAGTTTGGCATATAAATTCACATGATAAGACTATTTACAGGTCATAATTGGCCCAGGAAGACGCATATTAACTAGGGATGTAACAATAACTGAAATACCGTGATATCGTATCATAATAATATCGTGGACCATCACAATATATCAAATTACAAGTCTCTTTGCTTAAATTAAGAGTTATGGTGCAGCAACAGCTAAAAAAAAAGACACATGGAACTACAAAGACCATGATCCTTTGCTCCATTTCAGTGTAGACTACATGAAGAAATAACAGTTCTAAGCACTTTTAAGTCTTAGTTCTTTGGATTAAGTTTTGTCAAGGCATTTTAAAAAAGTAACAAAAGTAACAAAAGTAAAAAGTAGCATATTAACAGTTTTGTTAGCCTCACAAAATATCGTATTAAATATCGTACAGTGAGATGTATGTTCTACAAATATTGTACCGAGAGATTTGGATATTGTTACATCTCTAATCGTGAGCCTCCCCACCATATCATGAGCTTTCCCATGATATCGCAATAAATATCGTACAGTGAGGTTCATACCGTGACGATATCGTATCGTGAGACTTGGATACACAAAGCTGTAGTTACTTGAGAGATAAGTAACACGTTTGGTTCAGTTTTGTCTTATTTTATTGTTATTTAAAGAAAAGAAATGCTGTTTTCAGTCTATGGAATCGGCAGATACTTAAAGCTAGAGTATCAAAATCAGATCATGAAAAGTTGGCCCCTAGTAATTGTTCCATTATTACACAAAAGTAAAGACAGTCCAATTTCTTCCTCCAAAGTGTGAACTCTGGTCCAAACCGCATGCTTTTCCTCAGAGGATTAGCTGGAGTAGACTTCTTGGCAGACTGAATGTAAAAATGTGCTGCATTATTTTTATGACCCAAATGCAGCAAAAGCTTTAATGGACGATATCAGTGGGAGCATATTTGACCTAGATAAGGAGGGGGGTACCTGCTCCATTATTACACTATAAAGCATTGACTAGACTCCAATAAAATGTTTAGTTTTCAACGGTTTAATTACACTGGGATTATAATTTAATAGAATACAGGTACATATATGCACTAATAAGTTAATAATAAGGCTCAAAAAGAAATTAAAATGATCACCAAAAACACTGCTCTTTGTTATTTACTATTCTAATATTCATCATGTGTGAGCAACTTCAATAAATCTTCTATTTGAGGATCAATAGTTTAAGGGACAACAGTTAAATTCAATACTAAATAAAGAATCTTACAGTTAACATAACGTAGATTATTCGATTCGTTCATGCACTTTGGTCCTGTTTTGAGTCCTAATGTAGATTTGGTTTGGTCTTGCTCTAGTCCTGGTTTACTCCTGTTCTAGTCCTGGTTTAGTCATGTTCTAGTCCTGGTTTAGATCTGAATTTAGTGTCAATTTAGTCCCAGTTTTGATGTGGTGATCGGTCTTGCTCTAGTCCTGGTTTACTCCTGTTCTAGTCCTGGTTTAGTCCTGTTCTAGTCCTGGTTTAGTCCTGTTCTAGTCCTGGTTTAGTTCTGAATTTAGTGCCAATTTAGTCCCAATTTTGATGTGGTGATTGGTCTTGCTCCAGTTCTGTTTTACTCCTGTTCTAGTCCTGGTTTAGTTCTGAATTAGAGCCAGTTTAGTCCCAATTAATCCAAAAAAATGACCATATTAGCTCATAATAAAACTGTATTTTAAATCAATAATTTTCAACTAACAACAATATATGAACACACCCACATGTATTAGCTATAGTAAACATATAATAAAACTAAACTGTGTGCTTTAATTACCTTTTAATAGTGTTGGCCCATTGCCCAATGACCAATCAGGCCAAACCAGTCCCTCTTTTGCATATTAATGAATACAATATGTTTATCTTTATCAATGAAATGTCTATACACGTGTTGCAAACAGCCTATTAGTTTTAGGCAATATGAAGCTTGAATCAATATATATATATTTTTTTATTGATTTCAGTTCTTACTAGCCTGACCTATATAAGTCTTATTGTTTATTATACGCGGGCAGTATTTGGGCCACAGTAAGCCAATATCCTGCGTAATAGCAAGGTAACGCACACTTCCGTCCTTCCCGATCCTTTTAAACCCCAAACAGCCACCATCTGCTCCGGTTTGCTTTTCCTGTCCGTGTTTTTGTTCTTTTATTATGGTTACGTGCTAATCTAAAATCCAAATCTCCGCAGTGGGTCATTATTACGACTCCTCCTCCGTGCGCCTGGAACGAACCAGCGCACCGAGCGATCCATCCCTCCCTCCCCGGCCTTACCTTCACCTCCCCCGGCCTCCAACGCTCACCAAACCCCCCTCCAAACACGGACCCCCCAGTAACAGCCCGTTAGCATTAGCCACATCCCCCTATACAGCCAATGATATAGCCCGTTTAGCAGACAGCGGATCCATGCTAACACCAAGGTCTGCTCCGAGCTCTTACCGACGCTGGGGCTCCTCTCCTCGGGTAGCGGCGGTCCGGTTGCTCCCTCCCCACGGTTCCGCCTCCGCTCGGGTCTCGGTACCGTGGGATAGAGCCTGGCGTTGCGGCGGTTTTAGCTCCACGGGACGGATCGTAGCATAAACGGAGGGTGCTTCAGTGTTTTGCATAAATTTGCAGCTGATGTGAGATACGCCTCCTGGTGGTCATCTGCCTTTTCCGGCGCGACGGGATGACGAGCGGCCCCCCTCCGTCTGCCCCGCGATCTGCCCCCCTGCCATAATAAATATTCCACCGTAATAAAACATCTACCACACCAACTAGGACAACGAGGACAGGTCCCCCGGAGGTGATATATTAACCCGCAGTCTGTGATTTCCACTGCACAAAACAGAACTTCATAGAAAAGGTCACGGTGGTTGGAGGCATGAAGCAATTATTCTTAGTAAAAAAAAAAAACAAAAAAAAAAAAAAAAAATATATATATATATATATATATAATATATATATATATATATATATATATATATATATATATATATATATATATATATATATATAATATATAATATAATAATAATGCAAAACTGTGTCAATAATAAGTTAATAATAAACATTTAAATACATTTAAATAGGTTAATGGGCTAATTGAATATGTAATAGAACAGTTCTGTTTACATGCACAACAAAAAGCTGATCATTATGTGATTTCTGGAGTTGTCATGCAGATTATTGCATTGTAATTAAACATCTGAAGAGAGTAATCTGATTTCTTTCTGACTGTTCGTACCTGTGCAAGTTTGTCAAGGACAAATAGGCTATGAAAAACAGGGCAAAGTAATGTAGCGAAAATATTAAAGATTTACTTTGTTAAAGATTTGAAAAGGAATTATCAAATGATTAAAAATTATGAAACTTTGTCTTCCATACACAACAGTTATATGCTACTCTATAGGAATCGCTTTATTAACTCATACATGCAAACCTGTGTGGTCAGTTTGAAGTGGAGTGGCACAGAAGATACCTGAAACTTGCATTACAACATTTCACTTTTACTACAAGTCATAATTACTGCAGTACTGATAGGTAATCTTTGTGCGTATTTACCCACACTTATTTTAAATGTGCACTATGTAACATTTTTAATGGAATGTCCGCCATCTGTTAGTGTCGGTGTAGATGTTAATATTCACATTGTGACATTAAACATGGCCAACTATCCATGCAGACAAACAGGAGATCAGATCTGGGGGAAAGGTTACCCTGCTCACAGCAAGAACGCATAATTGAATCAATGGTAAATAGACATGTATATTGACATTATGTGAAAAATGCATGCATAGTCCATCTTTAATCTAAATGACTGAAAATGTTGACAAACCATTACATTTTTGTCATAACATGATAATTACTTTATTTAACAACTTTTTTATGTACAATACAAAACATCTGGGGCACATCACTGTCTGCATTTAAACCAATAAATCAATACTCTCTCTTTCTCTCTCTCTTTTTTCTCTCTCTGCTTCAGTCAGTCCTGTTTTACATTTACTCAAATTTCTAACCTAATTTCAGAATCTCACAAAGAAGCATGGTGAACATTGCGACAGGACTTTCAAATAGTCAAATATACAGTAAATGAGATGATTGCATGAGCAGTACATTGTGGATAACAGTCATTGAGGTGCAGTCATAGGCACAGACAGCGGACTACATCAGGCTAAAACACTATACAAAACACACCAGTTTCATAACACTCACGTAGCGATAGCAGGTGATCACAATGCAAGCTGATTTCATATATGATTTTAAACTTTTAAACTAGTATCATAATTGTCTAATATTCAACCAATCACATACAACAATAATGATTTGTCAGCTGTTGCTAGGTAGCTTTTACGATCCATGACTCTTATTCTTCTTCATTATATGCAATAATATAGGTCTATTTAAAGCATCATTTTTGACACAAAGTTGATCTAGTTTCGGTCGTTATTCTAATTTTATCCCATCTATTTGATTTTCTTTTGTGATCTTAATCGTAAAGCTATTCGTAGCACATTTTGCACAACTAAGGATATCTTATTTTAAAACTTTAGTAACCATATGTTCAGGCCCGTCGACAGAAAATTAGGGGCCCTGGGCAGAAAGCCTCGCATGGGCCCCCCTCTAACATAAATTAATAGGAAGAGGGTGTAATTCTGGGCCCCTTAAACTCTGGGCCCCAGGACAGCAGACGCCTTTGTCCAACTCCTGTCTACTGCCCTGCATATTTTACAGAAATTTGACTCAGTTCATTTTAAAAGTTGAGCTGGAGTAAAGACATAACTCTAATTTGTAAATAGTTGTCAAAATTGTCAATAGAAACAACTATTTTGGCAATACAATTTTTAGACACAACCATTTAATTTCAATGATAAGAATACAGATTATTGGCTCTGTGCACAACAGTCCCCGACACAACCAACACTGTTAGCATCACTACTTCCTGTACAATTGTTTAGCCTATATATCTATATTTTTTCGTACTAACATTTATAAATATTTAAAGATAAGGCAGTGGACAGAGAGTCTTGGCTGGATATCACTGAAAACATGTTAAAAAGTACACAAATAAAATAGCACCTCTGCCTTTAGAAAGTTAGAGGTTTGTGTCTTGCTGCTAATGCTAACGCTAATGCTAATTTTGAGTCATAAATATATAACATTTGGGTTATCTTCACTTTAACCAGAATCAGAATTTTATTTAGTTATTTTATATTTTTATTTCAATAAAAGTCACTGCTAGCTTTGAGACACAGTGAGCTAACTAGCGCGCTACTGTGCACAGAGCCACAGAGCCGGGTTTCAGATCACAACATTCTAAAGGCCAATCATATTTAATACAGGTGAGGGCTGCTAAAATCAATATTGTTAAAATACAGATTGCTGTAGTGAGTTCTTGGGTCTAGTCACTGATAGAAATGATCAGATTCAACATTTGTGAATTCAGCGTTTAGATATTTCCAATAAAAATACCATGTGATCATTAAGGAAAAGTGATATTTTGACGTCACCATTTTCTAGAATCTCAAAACAACCCATAGGCACACTGGAAAATGTTTGTGAATGAACAAAACTGCAATAAGGAAAAAACAGAGTTGAAATAAACTTTTACTACAAATCTCTCTCCACAACATGAAGTGATGTGCGCCCAAAATAAAAACACACATGCGTCGATTCCACATAGACATCCGTTTAAAAAATACATGTTATTTACACAATCGTTGAACTACCTTTTTACAGTGAGTGACTACAGTGGCTGGCTATGGTTAGGAGCAGTGTGCGCTGAAGTTCAAATTTGACATCAAAAAGCATTTCAGTTCAACATTATAGACTCATTTTAGGTGATGGTACAGGAAGCAGCGGAATAATGTTTAAAGTTGCACTATGTAACTTTTCTGTATAGCGTCTGCCACTTGCTTGATACCATGGAGATGCTATTTGTTTTGCCTGGAAACCTTATCAGTTTTAGTCAAGAAGGTGACACAACCAGGAGTTACTGGTCAGATCTGTGGAAAGGCAGGCCCACCTACACTAAGGCGACATGACACGACAACGCTCCTGGATTTTTTTTTTTCCATGTTAAAAAAAATTTGCATCCTTACACGTGTCGAATAAATATTCACGTCCAGACGACAATGGAGCACTGAGTGAAAACAATGTAATACATATGCCACACCTGTATGTGGCGCTATTAACAATGATAATAATATTTAATAATGCAGATCTCATCACTGTTTTTTTACTTTAAGGTGATTTTGCAGATTTTAGATGTATCCCAGAAATATAGTCATTTTGTTTTGCAAAAGGTAAACATAACTTTTTATTTTTAGCCATAAGATTTGTATCAAAATTCCAACAGTTCAATAACCCATGCGTAAACTTTTGTTATTGATCCATGTGCGTAATCTGCGTTGTGTGTGTTGTTAGCATTAGCATTTGCAGCGTATCTCGGCAACGGCAGCGGCTCTGTAAGCTACACCTGTCACATTTCGGCAAAGGCATTACGGTCTGTGGAGGCTAGTTCGAGGGCTGTGACGGAGTTCGACGTCATCGTTTTACAAATACCAAATACACGACAACGCAGCACCGGCGTTCTCAGATTTCTCCACTCTGGAACTCGTTCTCAAAAAACACAGTTTTCGCCCACCTGAAATGCCGACTCCGTGTGGACAAAAGGCCAAAACGAATAAAAACTTCACCATTTTGATCAAAAAACTTTGTTGTGTGGACACCACCTACGAGTGGATGTTTTTCAACTTATATCTGAGGTAAGATTAAAGCCATACTGTGAGACATTACAGGCAAAGCAATGTCATCTCAATAAAGACCAGCAGATGACGGACTATTCTTGGTGTATTCTTTACTGTGAGTGCGCCACAGATCTGACCTGAAACTTGTCCTGGTTGTGTCACCTTCAGGACTAGTTTGGTGCTACACTAGTACTGTGGAACATCTAGGCAAAGCAATAACGTCTCCAAGGAAACAGGCAGAAAGGTTCCATAGTGTGGCTTTAAGCTTGGCAGGAAAAGTAGCAGAAATACACCTATATTCCAACTTGAACACATCACTGTAGTGCACAATACAGAAACGACAAAGCCCGCAGTGTCAGTCCATGTGAGCGATGGCATAATAAAGATCTTTTTCACAACATTTGGAAGAAAATGTAAGTAAATTGGGTGAATTAAAGTGAAAGAAATTAGCAAAAGTTCCATACATATTACACAGACCAATGTTTCTACATAGAGACCACACATGAGCCACAAACACACTGAACATACCAGTGTAAGCAGTACAGATTTAACTTTAAGGTTACTATGCAAAATATAACATTGAATGGTACTTTAAAGCATGAAGTTTTATGATAAACTATACATTTCCAAAAATATTTTAAAGAAATTCAAATAGTAGGTAAAAACAAGCACATTCCGTAACTGACAATGAAAAGGCAACAGTATTCAAAGTTAATATCTTAAATCAAATCCACTTGATCATAACTATATCTTAATTAGTCTTAATAAAGCTTGAACAAAGAGTTAGTTAATTCAGGCTTAATAACTTAATGCCTTGATGAATAACTCCAAACTCTGCTCCTGGCTGTGTGATTGGAGGACTGTTTTCCCGCCTGCCTCTGATTGGC